CAATTCTGGCATGTTAGCTAGCTCGAACTTAGGCGCAGAAATTGCACTTATAACAGGCATACGAGATAATGCGTCTGCATTTGCATTGCTGCGTCCAGGCCTATATTCTATCTTAAAATCATACGCTTTCAGGGTTTCTGTCCATCTCGCTAATCTACCTTCGGGGCTCTTAAGAGTGAACAGCCATTTTAAGGGATTATGGTCCGTATAAATGGTAAACTGGCGACCATACAGAAAGTGTCTAAAATACTTAACTGCCCATATAATTGCAAAGGCTTCCTTCTCTATGGTCGACCAATTTGCTTCGTTAGGTGCAATAGCTTTGCTAGCATATGCGACAACTACTTCTGATCCATTGCGCATTTGACCTAAAACAGCGCCGAAACCCTTATCACTCGCATCTGATTGGATATAAAATGGTAGATTAAAATCTGGAAACTGCAAAATTGGCGAAGATGTAAGCGCTTCCTTCATGAAAGAAAATGTTTTCTCTTGTTCAGGACCCCATACGTATGGTACATTCTTCTTACTTAGGCGGTAAAGAGGTTCAGCATGCAAGGAGAAATCTTTGATAAATCTCCTATAATAACCTATGAGTCCTAGGAAGGACCTAAGCTGTGTAAGATCTTGTGGAACTGGAAAACTCTTAACAGCGTTGACTTTACTTATGTCAGGACTCAGACCATTCTTAGAAACAATATGGCCTAAATATTTTACTTCCGAAGCACAAAAAGTACATTTCTTAACCTTGAGCTTAAGACCAGCTGCGCGCAAACGAGACATAACTGATTCTAGTCTATTTAAGTGTTCTTCGAAAGTGCACGAAAAGATTATTATATCGTCCAAATAGACCAAACACGACTCCCAATTGAGACCTGCGAGCATGATTTCCATGAGTCGCTGGAATGTAGCAGGTGCTCCGCAGAGACCAAAGGGCATCACTGTAAATTCCCAAAGACCTGCGTGACTAGAAAAAGCAGTCTTAGGCATATCTTCCTCCTTAAGGGGTACTTGCCAATATCCTGAAGCTAAATCTAGCGTTGTAAAATATCGAGCGCCACCTAATGTATCTAAGGTTTCATCGATGCGCGGCAAAGGGTACACATCCTTACGTGTTATCGCGTTAACCTTACGAAAATCTACGCAAAATCGTGTGCTGCCATCCTTCTTCCCTACCAATACTACAGGACTTGACCAAGGGCTTTTAGAAGGCCTAATAACCCCCCTACTCGCCATATCTTTTATGTGTGTTTCAATAACCTTCCGTTGTGCCTCTGGGACACGGTATGGTCGCTGCGAAATCGGGGCATGATCTTGCGTGTCGACAGTATGTTCTAAGATATTTGTGCGGCCTAAATCTGAGTCAGACTGTGCGAAAACATCTATGTATTTGCCTAAAACATTCTTTAACTGAACTTGTTGTTTGTCTGACAAGTAATCGTTTTGAAGGCTAATACTGTCAAGAATAGAGCTATTGTCTTTACAGACTAATGACGTATGAGCTGAATAAATGATCGACGTCACTTCACCAATGTTCGTATTGGGTTCTAAAGTTACTGCTACCAAGCCAGGGTTGACTAACTTAACAGGGATTTCCCCTCGCTGAGGTTGCACAAGCGACCTTGCAGCGTAAACATTCGAAGATTGATAAAGTGAGTCATTCATTTCAAATAAACCTGTCGAACAACCTGGGCCTATTGGCAACATTGTAAATAACTCGGACCTTGGAGGTATATCTACCCTCTCAATTAACGAAATTTTCCAAACAGTGTCCGGTGGATCTGTGGCCAAGAACATTGTCTCAGAATCCCATTTCAACGTTCGGTCAGACATATTAATGGATATGCCTGCCCGCGCAAGAAAATCTGTACCAAGCACACAATCGTGCTGAAAACCCGACGCTACGTAAAAATCCTGGAATGCTACATTCTTCCCTAACCTAAGCGATGCGGAGAACACTCCCTTAAACTTAACAGGATCCCCCGTGACGGACGTAGCATTCACAGTCCCAGGGTGGAGAACAACATGCGGAAAATGCGTCTGTTGAAATGTTTCATTGACAATGCTCATGGACGCACCCGTATCGACTAGCATTTTTGCGGGCACGTCATTAATAAAACCATCAATAATACTTGCTGGGCCACATAATAATATCTCTTGCGTCATACGAGATACATCTAAAGGTTGTGTAAAAGCTTTACTATAATCATCATAATCATAATAATCATTTTCTTTAACAGAAGTAGAATATTGCTCTCTATCACTAACGACATTAATAACCGGTAGAGGTTTTGAAATTACTGCTGGCTGACCTCTACGTGCAGCAGCAGGTTCTAGTTTTCCGAATTCTTAACGAAATTACTTGCACCAGGCTTACTTCTAGGATACCTTTTCCAGCAATTTCTTTCTATATGGCCTGATTTCGAACAAAAATTACAGATGGGACGACCATCTCTTGCAAACTTATTTTTGGTGCCATTATAATTATTTCTACGGTCAAAATATTTGTTACTTACGGGTCCTTTTTCGTTTAAAATCTTTGTCAACAGCCCAATAACTTCTTTCACTTGCCCATTATTTTCTGTTTCCACAGCACCAACTGTTTCCGTCTCCTCCATACTCTCTTCTCTTAGGGCAATTCTAATGGCATCATTGAATGTTTTCGGATCCGCCATCGTGACTCTTTTCAATAGTTGTGGTCTGAGTCCCAAAATGAAATGCTCACGGGCTGTCATTTCAATTATCTCATTATTCACATCAGGCGGGAAAGACCGAAAAACCAATCTCTGAATGGACGAAGCAAATTCGTTCACACTTTCCCTCTTTCCTTGCTTCCTTCCAGCCAAGGAGCTATACGCAGACCTCCTCATATCTGCCGGGCTGAATCGGTCAATCAGCGATTGCTTGATTACGCGGAAATTCGTTTTGTTAACTTCCTCAATTTTTTCGAAATGGTCTCCAGCAGGACCCCTCAAAAACGCAGAAACCATTCTACCAGATTTTTCTGAATTCCATTCGTTGGCTCTCGCGATTCTCTCAAACGATGCGAACCAATCAATTACGTCGTCATTGGGGTACCCAAAAAATTTGTCCGGCTGCACCAAAATGGACTTACTTCCCAACGAAGAGTCGAATCGTTGCGATGTGCTGGGGCCAGGTGATGCATTCTCCTCAGTTGCCATCCTTGCGAATCTTATCCTTAGTGGTTCGATTTCTGTTGCTGACCAGTCTGTCATGCACGGCGAAGGCTAGGTACCTAAATATTTATTCACTTAGGCCCTATTTAATCGAAAATCCCAGCCGACTGTCACCAATTGTGAAGGGCAGTCAGGCTCGAGCGGTATAGAAAAGTACAAGTTTCACATTAACATTTTCATTCAATCAACAATAAACATGACTCCAGTGAGACATGGAACACAAGTTAAATTCTAATTACAAACTACTGTTTAAATAAAAAGCTACGCGGAAACACGTGAAGAACTTAGCCAATAATATTTTAGAAAAACAGGAAAAGTGACTAACATGATATTAGCTTTAGCGACGATACAATGTAAGAAAAACAACCGAGTCATGCACTAAAGGTAGATACCGAAAAGGAATGAAAACGAGGGTAAGACGTAGGTAGAGCTGAAACGATGTAATAAAAGTTAGTCATTAAACTGATTCGGAAAGGGCGGCTAAACTAAAAGAAGCAAACTAATTGATGACGATAGAATAGAAAAAATATATCTAAATGAATGAAGAAAAAGGGGGTATCGTGACATAGATAAAAATTTATGAACACTTTTATGATGCCATTTGATGTTCCCGTCTATTTTGTTGAGATAATATAAACAAAAACTACTTGCCGTAAATTCTATGCTATTGGCATTTTTACTAATCGTGAAGTATGAAAGGCCACCTCTTCTTTTAAGCGCCTTCTTTGAGAAAACGCCTCAAAAAAGTTTGAAAATTTTAAAAAAGCAACCCAGACGTAATATGCTATCTTAACAGCTCTACATATCAAAAGTCACTTGAGTCAATGCTGTTATCAAATAGCTAATTCTAACACAACATTAAAAGATGTATTCACTTATTTTGTTATTTCATATTCATACTGGGAACCAAAGTTATTTCATATTTTAAAACCAAAAAATCTAAATAGTTATATTTTCTCCCCGAAAACTTTAATTATTTCATATTTCAATTTTCCCTTATAGGCCCTTTTTTGCTATCGCGGCCGCGTCTTCGCGCTTAATTTCATTGCGGATTGCGGCATTTCGTTGATTTTTGCACGGTTTTGCGGCTTTTGGTCTCCCTATAACAGGTCCTCTTTAAATGACCAAAGAAGTAAAAGCCACCATCGCAATTTCAGCAACCAAAATAGCCGCAATGTTAGCAACCACCGTCTCAAAAATTTTCCTCGGACCACTTGCTTTCTATCTTTCGTTTTGACCCGGGGCCTATAAATCCTCTCTGCGGCCCTGGAAGTATGACTAAGAATTCGAAAATTTCATTCAGTTCATAATTTGGATGGGGTTCGTTGGTATTTGTTGAGTACAATGCGCTTGCCACAAGTATGAAAGAAGGATGCGTGCCTGCTTCTTACCCGGGACCAAATTCACCTACAATGCAAATTATAAGGAAAAAAAGTACAGTTTATTGTAATAGAGGTATAAATCATAGATGGAAGAAAAATTTACACTTTCAAAAAAACTTGAAGGCCATGATATGGGAAGCTATACAAATAATTATGATCAAAAGTGCATGGTCCCTAAATGGAGTAAATACCCATGTCTGCTTTCACCGAAGATAGTTCTCACTATGTCCAGCATGTGTCATTATTTTTATAAATTTCTAAATTACCATGAATCTGTACCATTTTTGGCACTTACTAATGTTTCGGAAAAATATGTTTGTGCCCTTTTTATTCGTTTTGGTCCCCCCTGTTCAAACCTGCGTCCGGCGGCCCTGCACTGATCAGCGAAGAGAGGCACTGACCATAATAAGCTTTGTTTCAAATGTCAAAGCATCATTCGATCTCTTCACGTGATTTGAACTCTCAGCTGGCGTGTGGCAAGGTAGAGGTGAAGATGGATACTGCAGACTCTCTGAAGTCAAAAGCTGTCGATTTGTTCAAGAAAACATTCAACTGTGCACCAGGAATCGCTGCTTGTGCCCCTGGAAGAGTTAATCTCATAGGGGAACACACAGACTATAACGATGGATTCGTTTTTCCTATGGTATGTGTAACAGCAATCTCGTCGGCATCAGGTTTTATCAGATCTTGTAGGCCCTGTTGCTCACACAACCTTAGGCTTGCATTCTAATAGCATCTGAAATACCCCCAAAATATCTAAGATGTTCATCCTTTGTTTGCAAAACATTTTCACACTTGTGGTTTAGTTTATTGCTCACTTTGCTGCGACTTGTTTAGCATGTTATTCTTCGTTGCTACGAAGTCATAAGTGGTCATCGCTAGAATAAACAAGTTATTGAATACAATGTTAAGTCAAACAGTCCTAGAACATTGTTTTTGTTGTTATAATTGTTTAAATGCAAGGAAATTGGATGTAAAAAACGAAAAATCTGAAAAGTCTGATATACCAAAACGATCCAAAACCTTGGGGGGGGGGAGGGGGTTGGTGGGGGTAGAATTACATTTATAACAAAATAAAGTTTATGCCGTCGGTAAATGTCGGTAAAATATGGTTTTGCACCTCTTACACAACCCCAGAAAGAAAGTTCACTTTATGCCACTGCTTGTTATGTTTTGTATGCCACTGCTTGTTACGTTATGCCACTGCTTGTTATGATTTTGCCCAGAGAGATTGTTTTTTTGTTTTTGAACAAAATCAATGGAGAAAGGAGACCTGTCAAATTTCAGTCGTGAAAATGAGTGAGTTTTGTTAAAAAAAATGAGAAAGTGTCCAGGGTCGGATCCAGATATTCTCAACGTTCTCACGTGAAAACGTCATTTTTCTCGAAAAAATTAAATTGCGAAAATCAAGGTAAAAATATTCAATCTTACTTTCAGGAAAACCATTCATTTCCTTGTTTTTCTCTGAATTGCAAGCATCCTAACGTTACATAGCCGAAGAACGATGTGTAGAACGATGCTTTTTTGCTCTGATGAAGCCCCGTATGCCGGGCGAAATATTAGCCTTCACTGATTTACGTGTATTTATTGTTGTTTATTCTCGGCGTATTGCGGTGTTTCATATTTGCTACAGATATGTAGAAGCCTGTTTGAGACAATCTGATTGAGATTCAAATTCTCCTTAATCTGGAAAATTCTTTGGAATAAATTTAGTGGTTGTTTTATCAGCCAATAAAAGTGCAGAATTTAAGTTTTAACCAATGAATTGGTGAGAACTCGAAAATAAATTAACTGCGGGCTTGAGTCGAAAAAGACAATCGAAGTTTGTCTTCTTTTGTTTCTGCTGAGGAACTCTGACGTAGCTGGTGGGAAACTTTGACGTAGATTATATCCATTGAAAAAGTATAACAAAAGTATAAAGTATAAAGAAAGTTGAACTCTGGAGTTCTCACAGGCTGAACGATTCAATTCAATCGAGTAAAGTACAATAAACGAAGGTCGCAGTAAATCAACGTAGAATGTCTCAAAGATGTGGAAAGTGGAAACTTTTCTAAGGAAAATGATGTTCCTGATATCAATCATCTATTTTCTTCTTGATCTGAAAATTTTTTGGGTGGCAATTTTTCAAGCTTTTAATACCAAAATGTTTTGATTTCGTTTAATCAAGGAGAAAGTTGTTTTCCTTTGCTGTGCAAGGTTTCAGATTTGTGCTCATCCTACTTTTTAATTTTAATACTTATTTTTATTAAATTTTTGCCTTGTGATAAATCTTTACCAAGCTTTAGAACTAGCACTGTGACAAGGCCACTTGCATCTTTGATATATATATTTAAAGAGTGTGGAGTCTACTAGAACTGGACGTGACTTAGGCCTTCAAATTCTGCATTAGTTTGACTATCATGTTGCATGTACCCTACAACCTTTTTATTCTATTGCATCAAAAATTAATATATGCTTAAACATCCCCAATATCATGTCATGTTAGATACTAGGTTATCCAGGCACAGGTTTCTAATGATACTCATTTTAAAATTACACCCCTAGTTTGGCTGTTTCATAATGCAAAATGCAGCTACCTAGGCCACACTCAGTTTGTTCCATATTCATTATCTTAATAGTCACTGATTAAACATTTCCAGCTTTTTCCTTGTCTAAGACTATCAAAGCTATCCCTAGTTTCTTCTTATTGGATATTGGTTAGTGAAAAGGCTCTGGTTTTATTTCATGTTGCAGACCAATCATTATTATTATTCACATGTTTTAATTTCCAATGAACACTTCTGTTCTTGTTCCATATTGTGGTTCATACTGAAGTATGGTTCATTTGATGTAGCTTGTGCCTTTTTAGCAACAAATATTGCCCTTTTGTCACAAAATTCTTTGTTGAATTCAATAAATTAGATTCAGTTTCAAAGTACTCAAAAAAAAATTCCTTGTCAATGCATTTGTGATTTTGATCTTTTTGTGGTACATTGTTTCATTTATTAGAAATTCTCTTTAAGAAAATCAGTATAAGGGCCACTGTCTAGTTAAAACTCTAAGCCAGTGGTTAACTTTCTTTTTGGTAGAAAACGTGCATTTTACAATTAGAAAATATGATTGCATGCATGAAAATACTTTTTTAAGCAAAAATCCTTAAATTCGTCTTGTGGGATGCTATTTTATCAATTTCAAAATGAATTACACAGAAAAACTTTATTACAGTCAATTTTTTGTTCTATTGTTTTTCAAATTAGAAATTTGAAAAAACTGAATTCTTAATTCTGAATTATGATTTGAGTGCTGAATTCTGTAAAAAATTAAAAAAAATTTCAGTACTGAAAAATTGCAAAAGTTTCTTATGTTAAAAAAGTGTTGTCAATATGAACCACTTTTTATAAAAGGATGTTTCTCAGACATTTGAAAGGGCGTGGTCCAATATTTTTACAGGGGCTACGCCCATGCAACCCCTTCTTGCTTGGTGAGAACATCATTTTTTGTTCTGGATCTGCCCCTGAGTGTTAGCTGGGCTGCTATGAGATCCAGGCACTGGGCACCATTCAAAATGTGGATGGTCTGGAAAGGGCTGGAAAACGCCCCTTTTAAAAACAGTCTGATTCAGAGAAGATATCAATTACTATAAAAATAGATTTGACAAGATAAGATGCAAATAAAATGAACAAAAAGGGGTTCCTGTCAAGACGAACTGCTACTACTTAGGATCTGTTTGAGTAAACTTTCCAAAGTTGCATTAGTTTTAAAACTTTCTAAAAAATTTTATTGCAAAAAGTGGGGGCGGGGCTATAGCCCCTACTAGCCCAATTGCTGCACATTGCCTAATGAGATCTCAAGACCAATGGGGTTAGCACCCTTACAGACACTCTTTCTGCTAGATGCCATCACAATCAGTGGAATTACAACATACCAAACCTCCAGATCTTCTTTCAAACTGTTTAAGGGAGATTATTTTTCCTCCTGTACATTTCCAGAAAGTTTTTTGGGTTTCATAATTCCAACGGAGCCAGGGATGCAAGAATATGGGGGCAGTTGCCCTCTTGCCCTTGCAAAATTTAACAATTTCCTTTATTTTACTGTTGTTTAGTTTTTCTTTGGCAGTTTGCAACTTCCCCTCCCTTACAGCTTCTTTCAGTCTCTGAATAGAGATAGCCTGTGCTTCATGTAGGCAAGAAAATATTATACTTAAATACCTCTCTGATAAATATGACATCACTTAACCTGTGCAGATCAAACCTATAACTAGGCCTTGTCAGGATAGAAGGTCTTTCTAGGATTTGGAAAAACTGTAAGAATTTGAATGAATCATAAGTTTAATGCACAAGAATCAAAATATTTGGATGTGATGTGTATGGGCTTGAGAAAATATCAAAATGCTTGTGTCTAAAGCAAATTGCAAGAGACTGGGAAGGTCTGAGCAAGCTGTGTTATATTTATCATCAGATTTTTTTGAAGGCATTAAACCTACTTCAGTTTTGCTGGTAACCAGTATCAAATCTTTTAACCAATTATTGCAGCTAGAACCACTTTCAGCCCAATAATCAGGTAATGAAAGTACATTGTTCCTCTAGAAGTTGAATTTACCTAAACAATAAATTATCCATCATAGGCAATAGAGTGTTACACAGTTATTGTGGGTAAAAGTCTGGAAACACAAGCTGTGAAGTTGTCACATCAGCAAATGTTGATCAGCCACATGAAAAGTTTCAAGTACCATCTGAAAACGCAAGATTGTCTCCTGGTAGTCCTAGCTGGGCAAACTATGTCAAAGGCATTGTGCAGGTTTTCCCACAAACAGTACCAGGTTTTAAGGCTGCTATCGTTTCTAATGTGCCGTTAGGTGGTGGTCTGTCCAGCTCAGCTTCAGTTGAAGTTGCAGTTTATACATTTTTGGAAAAACTTTGTGGCGTGAAACATGATAGCAAGTCAAAGGCCCTGGCATGTCAAAAGGCAGAACACGATTTTCCAGGAATGCCCTGTGGTATCATGGACCAGTTTATTGCTGTGATGGGTAAAAAGGAACATGCATTTTTGCTTGACTGCAGGTAGGCCAAGCTCAGTACTAGATTAGTGGAGTATACCATATTAACTTGGATGAGTGCCTGAGGGATTAATTATTGGTCCTTAGGGGTGGGAATGGGGAAGTGATATTTTATTTGAGAGAAGTGCTCTTTCAAAGGAGGCACTCATTTTTACAGATGAATTTTGTGGATGATGAAAAAAGCTAATATAAACAGGGTATGGTCAAAGAGACTGTATTTTGCTTTTTTTTGGGCTAAAATGTCTTTGTTGTGCTTTTCTTTATACCTGGGTTTGGTATTTTAAAAAATTATTGAGTAAAATTGCAAATGAAATGAACTTGAAAAATATGAAAAAACTAAAAAGCTAGGTTTTTTAAAGGCCATATGTAGACAAATTGGATAAGCCCTCTCTTGTATCGGCCGTTCCTCTCAAATAAGCCCCCTTTGTAATCTGTGGGCAGTCAGATGAGGAGTTTCTCATCTTTTTACTTAAGGAGAAGTCAGAAAAGTGGAAACCACACAACGGAGGGAATGTTCTTTTAAGCAAGGGCTTACCTTCAAGTAAACACAGTAGGCGATGAAAGTTATCAAGAAGAAATGAACTGCAGGGAATCACATAATACATTCTAGTTGTTCTTGGAAGCATTCAACATAGCAGTTGTAGGGGGGTTTCCAGGCTCCAATTGGCAACAAAGTTTTTGAGCAATCCTTCATTTGCCCATAAATTTGAAAATTTTTGCAGAATTATCACAAAGCGAAAAGAAAACGATGGCAAAAAGCTCTTCATTTTTGTAACGGAATTTTTTCAAGGGGAGTGGTCACAACCCTCACGCCCCCCCCCCCATAGCAATGGCCCTGACATTTAATTTCATCACAATTTTGAAAACGACTTGGTCTATTATGGTTTATCTTTTCAGATCAATGGAAGGGAAGCTTATACATTTATCAGATCCAGGAGTTGTTTTTGTAATTGCAAATACAAATGTGAAACATGAGCTGACTGGAAGTGAATACTCCTCAAGACGGAAGCAGTGCGAGGAAGCTGCAAAACTCATGGGAAAGAAAAGTTTAAGAGATTTAACTACTGAAGAATTAATGGGTATGTTAAGATTTTTGCGTTTCCAAATATATCAGTTTTCTTATTGAACAAACATGAAAAGAAAGCTATCTTTGTATATAAATGTATTGTGGTCCTTATTTGAACATAGAAAACATTTGATTTTTATTCCATTGCAGTCAAACTTGCCCGCTTTGACTATGATTACTATTTTACTACTGCACATTTTGCCTGTTTATCACTACACGAAACCGTTTTATCACTCTACAAATTCGTTACCACTTAAACATAAAACTAGGTATAGACAATTTTTTAATTTGCTTGTACTTTTTTTAAAGCTGTTGTAACTCCTCAATTGCTATTATTAGGGTTCAAAGACAGCCTTGATAATGAGGTTTTTCAAAGAGCACATCATGTTGTCAGTGAAATTGACAGAACAATAGAAGGTGCTCAAGCATTCGAAAGGGGTGATTACGAATTGTTTGGCAAATTGATGGTTGAAAGTCACCACTCTTTGAGGTAATAATTTTTCACTGCAACTCTTTGGAAAGAGTAAAAAAGCTTACTTTTAAATGTCAATATGTATTATCTCTTCTGAAAGAGTTGTTTTACCAATTTATCAGTTTTGGCCAGCATTCTCCTTGTAAAATTGTAATTTACAGGCTCGATATTAAAACATACACAGGATTAAGGCAAACATTTTTTACCATCAACACAAAATTGTAACTCTCGTTATATCAAAACATTACTCATACAAGTGAACATCTTGTACTTTTAGATTAATTCATAATTATTTATGCAAATTTGTGCTTTAAGATCTGTTGATCTGAAAATCAAGTCACGTTCGCTCTATATTCTATTTAAGAGATGACTATGAAGTCAGCTGTGATGAGCTGGATTTACTGGTAGAGACAGCAATGTCTGTGGATGGAGTTTATGGTTCAAGAATGACTGGCGGAGGTTTTGGTGGATGCACAGTTTCATTGGTTAGCAGTTCTGCTGTGGAGACCCTTATCAAAACCATACAGGTTCATTGCATTGATTCCTCTTCTCTTTATATCGACAAATTTGACAGATATACTGGAAACTACAGTTATAAGTTTAACATTTTGCAACCAGTGACGGACGGGAACAGTAAAGCGTATCTGGGTTAATCATCTACATTCCCTTTCCCCTTTTCTATCACTCTCTTTAGTCACCAGCGCTTCTACTATTCCTAGGCCTCTGTGATGCATTCTACATCTCCACTAATAGCTAATAAAAAAAACTTAGTAAGTTTTCAAATACACTGTACATACGCTCATTTTCAAGTTAGTAGCTTGGAGGAATCCCTGCTACCGTGGACAAAATACTAGTTGTGAATAATATATTGTTGTCGTTTTTGTTTCCTATCAGCTCGTGGTGATGTTCCTTGTTCTCTTCACTGAGAATATGACGATTGGGGGGGGGGGCTTATTTATTTGGGAGGGACTTAGCATGTTGAAAGCCCAAAGCCAGATGATATTTTGTTTAGAATAAGAAGCATTTTTTGAAATAACTGGAGTGAGCTCAGCCTCCTCCACCCTCACGCTCTGCAGTCGCTGATATCAAACGAAAACGGAGCTAAAGCATTACAAAATTGTTGCAATGATCGTGATTAAGCTTTTTTATAGAGTATAATTTGTAAAAATGTATATTTTTTGCTATAAAAAATCTTAACATGAAAAAAGTTTTTCTTTGTTGTGAAAGACAATATAAAGCAAAATAACATATTGAAAGTTATGATATTGAATAGATATGCAGTTGTTTGTATAAACTCGATTTCAGTAGCCTTCAATTGCAATCTTCTTGCATTCTGTTTGTAATTATATTTCCTCTGTTTCCATTTTTTTCAGGCAAAGTACAATAATAAAGCATCAATTTTCATTTCATCTCCTGCCGATGGAGCAAGAGTTTTGACGCTGTAACGGCAATTGCGAATGGTTAGTTTTCCTTTAATAGATGTCCCAGGCTTTAATATTAATTCACAAAACTCTTATAAAAAATAATGCTGAAAATCTACTAATTGCTGCATGCAACCAAACGTTTTGCTATAAAAATAAATTGACCAAGGAGCTATTGTTTGTTTGTGAAGGTGGAGTGAAAGGTGGTGTGTCTCAGGTTCAAATTTTCTTACTTAATTTACGTTTGACGTCACAAATATGATATTTTTAAGGCTCACATTTTTAATTACATATTATTTTCGCAATATACGAATTATATCTGACGTTTTCTCAAGACATTTTCAAGTGGTAAAAGTTTTCAGTGTTACGCCCAAATCGATATTTGACGTTTTGACGATTATGCCTTAACTGTGAGTTACAAATAAAGTCTTTAGCAATACAAGGTCAGTTTGCGCAGAAATCAAACACATTTGAGCATTGTGACGACAATGATGTAACTGGAAGGGGTGTCGCTCATTCCCCAGAAGCTTATTAACAATTTGCGGACAAAATCTTAGGAGGTGTTGTTTTACTCCCCCCCCCCCCTTTCCCATTAAATACAAAAACTAGATGAAAACAATAATAAGAGTATCTTATACCCTGAATTAGTACGAGCTTTGTCTTATATAAAACACGTCAATTTTTCTCCGCTAAGAAAAAAATCATGGTTACACCCTTGAATGGAGACATGTGAATGTTAATTGTAATATGATTCTAGCCGAGATCAAAATGAAAGCGATGACTTCATAAGAAAGAAACTGAATTTGAATCAGCAGGGCAACTTGGATTGTTTCATGAAGATGAATTGAATGTATTTTTCTAATTGCGTCCTTTCAGTTGCAACCGGGTTATTCCTCATTCTGGTGTCTGTCGGTTTAAGCAGCGTATTCGTTTGTCTTCAATTTGCTTCTAAATGGCTACAGGAATACGATATATGTTTTTAAAATCATTTTTCAAACTATTTTCAACAATTTAATCAATTTTGAATGTAAATAAACATAGAAAAATTGCTTACTCTCATGCAGGTTGTGTAGTAACTTAAACTTGTTTGAATGGATTAATTTAAAAAAAGTAAATCTTCGCTGTTTTTTCTATCTGAATCCTACTAGGCATTCCTTCATGATTGATTCCATCAACGGTTCTTTGATCCTAGCGGTTCGCTTCCATCGCTTTGCTATCAAAGACGCAACCACATAACCAGTTGATCGGTTCGACTGTTAAGATCGCCTTATGTTGTTTGTTAATCCATATCGACTAAGTTTAATATAAAACAGTCTCTGTCTGTGTAACCATGTTCTGTTGTTCCCTTCCGTTCTCCTTTTAGGTTTTGCCCTTTTTATGTTAGCTTGCCGCACAGCTTAAAACATTAGGAAAACCTTCACTGAGATTTTTTGCGAGTTTAATCGTTCTAGCGGCATACTTAAAGTAAGAGAGTATATGATTTTAAAATTACCGTAGATTTGAATGGAGTGCTTAACTGGAATTACACCGATAGTGACAAGGAATGTTAAGCTAAGTTTTTTGAGGATTTCGGACAATTTTGAAAAATATTTAGCCCCTCAAAATAATCATTCTTTTTAAATCAGCATCATTCAAATTTAAAAGATAAGAAAATTGAAATGAAGATAATGCTTTACAAGGACGATCACCTTTCAATAGGAGAAGTTTTGAACTTATTTTCCCTCCCTGTAGCGCTTGGGTGAGCAACTCGACAAAGGCTAATTTCGAACAATAACATATCCAAGTAAACTTAACAGTATATCCAGCATTTATGAATAGTTTACTTGTACCCTACTAAATTATCTGTAATTTCGATACCTCAAAATGTTCAATTCATAAACCGGGCCGGGTAGACACCCAGAGCCCGTGCTACGAGAAATGAATCGCTCTTCAACAAACTCTTAACTGTACCTTGAGCGTAGCCAAAGATCTTTGGAGTCTGGGAGTTTCACGTCTACTTGTGAACAGACAAAGATATATTTTATGTATTTTAGCATTTTTCTACTCTCATAAGCAATTTACACCACAACTACAAAATTATATCAACAGTGCAACGAGGAGAAAAAATTTTATATCTACTAGGTCGCCATTATAATATACAGCTACAAGAATATTAGAACTAAATAAATAATATAGAAGATACGAAATACACTCTTTTTTTCCTACAAGAACCCTTTTTTCAGAGTGTGGAAACTCAGTATTCTCTACATAGGGTAGGAGACAAAGGGGCTAGGAGGGCCGCAACCCCCCTAAACAGTCAAAATTTATGGCATCTCAGGCTCCATGCGGGCAGTTCTATCTTAATTCAGCAACTATATTCGGCAAGATCCATATTGATTCTTTTTCTGGATCTGAGCATTTTATTTTTATTTTTCGCTATTGAGATCTCATTACATAACTTAGCAATTATTCTGCCCCACTTCACTCTAAAGATATGACCAGCTGTAAAGGCAGCTATTGGTTCTCTTTTTTCCAGTAAATACCCCCGGGAGTATATTTTGACTAGTTTCTAAACATCCTTAGGTCCTTTGTTGGTACAATTTCAAAGCTATTGTGAAAATCTTGTTTCAGTTAGGGATTTATAAAAAGAAAATGAGTGACAATATACTTGCGCCTATCAGGTAAGAATGTTTTTGTAAATGCTGTTTTGTAGCCCTAATTATTGGCTAAGAATTGCATATGATTTTAAGATTCAAAGAACAAATGGGGATTTTTTAAAAGTGAAATGCTCCGCGTTCTATGTAACGAATTATTATTGAGACTTTAGATTATGCTTTCAACAATATCAGAATGATTCAACTTTTTCCTCGTCTTTTGACCTCTTGATCCTTTTAATCATGCAAATTATACTTTTATCTGCTATTTTGAACTTGTCGACTACCACTTTTGAACTTTGCTCCTTGACCCCAAGACAGTCTTTTTGGCTTAACCAAAAAAACCAACAGAATCGAAATAGAGAAAGACTCGAAGGTAAATCAAATGAATATTAAGTTGGGCTTAATATATAGAAAATCTATGTGCTATCTGATTTTTACCTTACGTGGCTTGTTTTTAGTATGATCGAAACTCGGAAGGCAAACGTTTGTTGATTACAAATTTTTTATATGGTATTAACTAGCGATTTGAAAAGTATGGGAGAGAGCTCTTCGTGGTAGAATAGCAGGTAGATTTGTGGCACAGGTAAGCGTACCCCCGAACCACTCAGCCTACAGAAAAACCTTTGTGACTCGACAGAGCAAAAGTACTGCCTCTTCATCAAAACTATCCTTCATATTCTTACCGAAAGTTGCTTAATAACCCCCCAACTTGCTTTCTACTTGATGGCATCAACCATTTTACCTTTCCATTTCACAATTACTTTTTGGTGAAGCAGTGATATTTCGACAAGATCCATACTAAGTTGTCCCCAAAACATTTAGCACCTACTATGGCCATGGATATGTAACTTTAAAATAAAGTTCATGAACAGCTTTTCGTAAGCCTATTTGCACTGGCTCTAGAATGGTTTTATTGGCACAACCCTAGTTGAGTAGGCCGCAGAAACATTGGATTGAAGAAATAAATTGTAAAGTGCTATTAGGGTCATTTTTGGTCCAAGACTTCTTAGTTTACAAAGTATACAAGTACTTTAGAGGGACTTTAGATACCGCATTTCCTCTAATAAACGCCGCCCTCTGGTAAACGCCGCCCTCTATTGAACGCCACACCTTCAGCCAACCATTTGGAAAAAAATGCCGTCCTCTGATAAACGCCGCCCTCTATTGAACGCCACATATTAAAAAGCGGCGTTCATTAGAAAACAAACCATTATTCGAAAGCTATGAAAGTTTTTGTGTCATAGAAACAAGGACTCTGACGGAGGTAGAGGTATGGACATTTCTTGAAATTTCCATAACGTGAAGACATCTTTTGTAAACTTTCAAAAAATTGTTCACACAATCTTTATTACGTGTTTTGGGAAAAGAAAACATTGTTTAAAGTCTGTTTTTATCTTTTTTCATCGCATTTTTCATTGGAAAAACTTTTCATTTTTTATTGAACGCCGCCCTCTGATAAACGCCACCCTCTGTTGAACGCCGCATCCAAAATTTGGAGTTGGTAATAAACGCCGCGGTGTTCTTTAGAGGGAATACAGTATTTAACTAATTATTTTTGTGTTGCTTCCACTTAAGTCTCTCATCAATTAATACACCAGCGTATTTCGAATAGATTTCTTGTTGAGAAGGGCTTTAGTATGCTATATTTGCTTCAGTATGTATGCTGTATATATATATATATATGTATGTGTATGTATATATAGACGCTTTTCCGTAACTTTTTCCCTTTGCAAGGCATGCTCGTTTTCCTGTGATTAGTGTGCCGATTTCTATTGCTTGCGGCCACGAAATGATGATGACTCAACGTCGCTAGCAAGCCAACGATCCAGAAAACAATTGTCTCATTGCCATAAAGGAAGTTGGGAAAGCTTTTAGCAGAAACTAACCACCCTTTGTGACATCGTGTAATTTTTAATACAGATATGGCAGCAATAAAAATTTTGATTGGTAAAAATGTTTTGCTATTGTAAATAATGCAATTGTTTTTCTTTGCATATCAGGGCCCTATGCTCCTATCTTGAAGTTACCTTCACAAGCACACTACTTAATGAACGTCCAAGCACAATCCTGACAGCGTCTAGGCAATACTGTAAAAGTCTAAATAAAACTAAAATAAAGCCAAATTATCCAACTTTTATGATTTGACTTAAAAAAGCAGAAGCCCGGCAAAAGAGTTTCATAGCCAACGTATCTAATTTGAACTCAGGCTAATAGCTTAACCAACTGACAAATAACCAGCAGAAAATTGATTAATCAAAATAACGCTAACAATAGCACATATAAAACGTACTGGTCAGCGATGCCGGAGTCGAGGGAGGTACGCTTTGCAAGGCTTCAACTTCCCTGGCTGGGGTTTTTGCCCGAGTGCCCTGAGACACAGTCAATGCTTGAGACAAATACAAAGCAAGCAGAGAAAGATCATATATAACTGGCAACAGCTGTCTAGCTTGATGTGAGGCCTTCTTTCAATTGACTCTAGACCAGGAGTGTAGAGGCTGAGCCCTCGATGCCCCCGAGCCCTCTAATATTAATGCCGAAAATTAACCAATTTTTCACTTTTCCTGCTCTTATTAACAACACTATAAGCATCTCTCATTTTTTGTAGCAACAAATAAACGAAATTTTGTGTGCGAGGAAAATCTTCTTTTTTCGACGTATCATAACTGTCTACAACAGCATCTAAACAGCACCAGTATTCTTCGTACACAGCGACAGCATACCTACCTTTTTATGCGGTTTAACTCTAAGAAAATTGAATTTACCTACATGGAGCCATATCTTATTAGCTTATTAGCTAAGAGCCATTGAGAAACATTATTTAATTCAGAATTAACATTTTGTTCAATAACATCTAGGTTGTTATCACCAAACAGAATGCTCGTGTTGTCAGCAAAAGGACGAAATTCAAGGAACTTTTGAGGAATTATACTGTACATATCGTTGATTTAAAGCAAGAAAAGTATTGGGCCTAATACATTCCCTTGTGGGACTCCATAGTCAATATTTAATTTAATTGAGGTCTCGCCATTCCCGGTAACTATTTGATTTCTTCTATTTATGTAAATTTGAACCATGCATGCCCTTCTCCCCTCATTCCATAGAACTCTAATTTATGTCTAATTTATGGTTGAAAGATCTAGAAATATGCAACATGAGGTAAGATCATTTTCTCAATTTTATTAATAAATTGTCACGTGAGCTCCAAAAATGCTGAATTTGTAGATTTGAATAATAAAAATGCCAACCTGAGATCCATTTTAAAGGACAAGTGCCACGCTTTTGGCGCCAAAATCGCGCCCCCTTCGCCCCCTGATTAGAATTTTTTGTTCTAAACCAGGAAAAACTTACTTCTAAATGATGATCTATAAGTTAATGAGAAGAAACGATAGGGTGAAAAGTGTGTCACTTGTTCTTTAAATAAAAAAGGGTCAGTTGATAGTGAGATGGAAAATCGTTGACGTCAACACAAAACAAAACAATGTCATGCTTTTTGCCGTGTAGGCAGAATTCAAACTATCCCGTTCAACTGTAAAAGGACACAAAGTCAAATGTCAACACCACCGTCTTGGTAGCCTACGACATGCAGATTATGAAGTCTCAAGAAACAGGTTCGAGTTTCTTACAGATTTTGCAATTAATTTTGTGAGTTGGACTTTACGGAATAATAGCCGATTGAAGGAAAATACTTGGCATTCAGAGTGAGTTATTTAATGACATTGTCTAGATTTAGGCCATAGGTCACATCAACTAATTGAAAATGACGTTCTTCAACCAAGTAAAGTTTCTGCTTTATCGTAACTTTCTGCTGAAGCGAAGGAACACCAAACAAACAGTTTACGAAGCCGTGAGTGTACTCTACTTCGTGGCCATTCTTGCAGTTATCAGGAAGACTGCAGTACAACCCAAGACGTACGAGGCCCTGTCTGATTCGGATCTACACTCCTTTGCCTTGTTTCCTCCTCAGACACAATCAAATGAAACAGCTTTCCTTGTTCGAATGCCTAAAGAGATTGGCTATGTTATTAAACCCGGATCAAGTCCACCAGAAAGCCAAAAATTTGTCGAAAAGATCCAAAATATCACTGGAAACTTCAGCATCAAACTGCTTAATTTTTCTGATGAGGCCGCTTTGGAAAACGCCCACAGAGCTAACCCGAAAAATCTCACCCTCGGCATGGTAGTGTACATTGATGCAATTACGAAAACAGCCGAGTATACAATAAAAGTGCCTTACGACAGTGTGCCTTTAACTACAAGTGACATACGTAGAAAGAAAGCCGACGGTAAGCGATATTAATATATTCTAACTAGATGTTGTCAAAACTAGTTGTTTGCTTGAACTTGTAGATAAAAAGTAACACCTGCGCTGATTTTAGGACCCAGCGCTTTTATACGATTCATTCTGTTGTCACCGATCCCTTATTGGAAAATTTCAGAATATTTCATGTATCGCAACTTGTTAACTGTTGTTTGATCCAGAGATAGATCCAGGAATGGTTTTTAAAGCTGCTTGGTCTAAACTTTTGCTGACAAAGGTGTGGAAATTTTGTGAGTCATGGAGAAGAAGCAGGGGGCAATGGCTTTGCCAAACTCCTACATCCCCCCGGGCTCACATAAATTTAGGATAGGGGTGCTTAGGTTACTTTTTGGGTCTAAAATTTGAGTTGAATTGGTTGCTTGGAAGTAACAGATCACTAGAAAAATTCTTACCCATGATTACTTGATAGACTTTTGGGAATTAAAGTTCAAGTGAAAGAAAGTAGGCCTCAGCCCTAGTGAGCTCCCTTGAACTAAACCCCTGATAGTTACCCAATGCAAACCATAATTGAAGTTAAACCTGTGCAGAATCCTTCCTTTTGGCTAAGCAGCCCTGAAGATTGGATTCAAGCTCATATATTTTGTGTATGTAGGCTTGAATCCAACCTTTAGGCTCAAAATCCTGTATGTAATCAGTTGGTTGATGCTGCATCACTGTCCGACTCATTTAGAAATTTAGCCTAAATCAGGTACGTGTTAGAAACAAGACAGTGTTGGGTATACATTGAATTATCCAGCCTTATGTATGTTAGCTTTAGTGAGTGTATAATGAGATACCCTTAGATATACCCTAGTGAAAATACGCTTATATGGCAAAAGAATGCTAAGCCCAAATATACATGATGCTGATAGTCTTAGAAGACATGCATCATACCCGGACTCACACTGACTAATGAAGGTATGAGGAACATTGGATAAATACTGTCTTAGTCACGGAACTGCTGCTCTGTTGCTTAACTTATGTATTTGTTATTATTTGTTGTAAACTTTTTGAGTGTTTGTGTTTGTTTGTCTGTTTGTTTTTGTTTTTGTTTACATCAACAGAACCTTCAGTATTGAAGTAGTTGATTAAATTCGTAGAAGTAGAAGTAGACTAAGGTGCTATTGAAGTATAGGCAATATTGCTTGTCAATAGGCATGTGACTTAAGCAACCAATATTCACTCTATACCCAACACTTCTTGATTTAGACCAACATTGTTGATTTAAACTAAATGTGCACATCATTGCCTACAAGGGAATAATATCATGTACTCCTTTCAGTCATCATGCCAAGTATCAACAGATTTGCACTTCTCTATTAAAACCACTCTGTAATTCTTCTAACAAATTTTATCTACATCATACTGTCTTTTTGTAATCAAGAGTGACTATTTTAGGCAAGAACTTTATTTATCTCCTCTATCTTTAGCATCATGCAGAGGCAGCTTGTTGCAGCTTATGTCAAAAGAGTCTTGCCCAGTCAACACCTACTACGCATCTGGATATGCAGTTGTTCAAGCTATTGTGGAAGGTGCAATCATTGAGGTATTCATTTAAATTTTTTTGTTTTAATCCATCGCACTGATTGTTTTTTATTCTGAGTATCAAATAAAGGTGCATGCAGGCCAGGCCTCAAGGTAACAAGCATAGCCCTCTATAAGCTTCAGAACTTTCCTTATTAGCTATCAGTGGTCTGGATGGAAAGCTGCAAATTAGAGTCTTTTGTAAAGCAAGCAATATGCAGTCTCTTGGTTTTGGTGCTTTCTACAATGCTTGATTGCTTGTTTTTGATTCAATGATAGCGTTTCACATGAGCTGTTTAAAGATTTAAGGTTGCTGATTTTGACTAGTGACATATGCATCTTTTGAATCTCCTTCGTGTGACACATTATTTGGTATGTATTTGTACCTTTTAAAAGTGATAAATAGCTATCATCTTACCAAATTAAAATTATATATGAACTGAACTTAACTGAATAATGATGTGATGAATGAAAGCCCCTGGAAAATTTTTTGAAAAGAGGCCATGCTACTCCCACCTCCTTTTCTGGAAATTGGACTTACCAACCTCTGGTTTGTCAACAACGATCAATGCAACATATTGTAAATAAAGATTTAGTTGAAATAGCCTGCCAAATTAAAAAAATTTCTTTATATAATGGCACTGACTTATGTATGCAAATTATTCAATGCAATAAATTGCCATCACGACTCGTCCATCTTCACCAGTAATTATTTTGCTGAAAAGGGACTTGCATAAAATATGGTTCTTGCAGTTTTTATAGGCCCCTCTAGGCATTGTAACTGAACTGCGTTGAATTGGGATATTGAAGCTACCGAGCTATGTTTTGATAATCCTAAATGCCTGAAATGAAATCTTGTGATGTTTATAGCTCCAATCCTCAACAGACCCCTTGTCAAAAAATGTCATCATTTTTTGCCATATATCATAGTTAGAGATATCACCAACATTGGCTGGAAGGGGTGAAGGGGGTATTTGCTCTTCCCTTCCATTTGCAGTTGTTTGGTGACAAGAGAATGTATGCCAAATAATTATCAAAGTACTTCAATGCTTGCAGCCGTTTTCCTATCCAAGCCACTTTAGCTCCTTCTATGACTTCTTTGCCCAACAGAACTAGGTGCACAAGAGGTTGCTGTTACTAAAGACCTTTCTCAGTACCATAGAATGTGCTAGAGTTTAACACTGCAGTTCTGGATTTACCATAGGTCTAGAATTAGGTTGCTTTGGGCAAAGATTGCTTTGGACCTATTCCATTAATTGCCCTGGCTTTGATGCGGGGGCAGACACTTGGTCAAATATGGGGGGGGGGGGGGCAAGCCTGTTTTAATCAGATGACATCACATTTCCTATTGTTTTAGAACAAAAGACCATTGTAATCTAATGTATTGGGGATGGTTGCCCCCCTTGCCCCCCAGGTGTCTGCCACTGCTTTGATGTGTGCTCATTGCTCTTGCCAACAAATTGGATATTTTAGACAAATCATTAGAAAAATAAAGAGAAAAAATTCCTAATAATAAGAAAATATTCCTAATAACAAGGAATAATCAAAATGTACAATATTATTGTTTTGAATGCTTCAAGAAAATATTCCTCAAAATGAGAAAGTAAATTGTAACAATTTTGGCAGAACTGGCAACCCATAGACCTCAAGACCTCTTACAGTTTCAAATTCTTCTTGAAGACAAAGCAACACTGGGAAACGTATCGGCAAAACTTTCAAGTAGCATAGACAATTCATCTATGTTGTACATTTGTTGTTCATGTGCATATGATACAATTATTCTTGATAAAAAAAGCTATTACAACTTATCCCTGTCTGCTGGAAATGCACTGACCACTGGTGTTCTACTTTAGATTATTTTTCTTTCATTGGAGCCTTTTCTAGACTGTAATGCCAAAAGAAACTTAAAAAGGGCCTAAATATGTTTTTCCCTTCAGTTCCTTCCTGTAGTCTTGCCTTATCCCCCTAAAAAAAGCTGTTACTTTATGATGCTCACCATAAACTTGATGTCAAAATTAGTTAAAGTTCTATATCTTAACGATATTAGTAAATTTAAATCAAAATTTTAAAGGTGATGTGTCCATATAAAAGGACTGCGTATACCCAACTTGTCAAGCCACCCATCAAAATAACGGTTTGCGATTGATTAGTATTCTTGCGATGCAAAACTGCTCACATGAAAAGCTAACCTCGCAGCAGGATAGATACACAGAACGGACCGTAATGGCTGGGGCAATGACATGGAAAATCACATGTTTCTAAAAACCCCCGCAGAGTCGCTTGCTTTAGCTGGACACATTACCTTTAAGTTTACTTTGAATGCATTTTTGGTAAAGCCTAGGCCAAACCAATCAAACATCCGTATAATAAATTTTCCATCGCTGTTGGATAAAACATGTTTCATTCATTTTGCCATCATGTTTTACGATGTTTTATGATGTTTGAGCTTTGAAGATGATAGAAAATATTTGTTTTCCATCAAAAATTTTGTTAAACATCACTTTTGTTCTCATGTTTGATCAACAATGTTACCTTCCTTTTTGCGATTACGTTAAATATTTGCTTGACTCACACAAGCACAGAAATCTGAATGTTGGTAAATAAAATGCGGTTGTTGAGGGAGCTGTTCAGTAGCGCTTGAATCAGAAATATTTTGAAATTTGTTGGATGTCCCTATAGCTTATAATTCATTTCCGTGACTATGTTTGGAGACACCGTATAACATTTATCCTAAAAATTTTGAAATTCTAATAGAAAGGTTATATATCTATATACAACAATCCACATGGCTGGCTAGGTAGATTCTCATCATAAACTAAAACCTACAGAATCATTTAATTAAACTTTTTCTAAAAAAAGGACTTTTTGAATGACATTATGTAATTTTAAACAGATTTGATATTAGGGATATATGTCTTTGGGAATCTCTTCTCAATAGCTTTCGTTTCTAAGCAGCTGATTATTTTCTAATGAAGCAAGTTAAATCCCTAGCTAGCATTCTTGATCATGTTGGATATCACATACAATCATCTCTTCTCCTTTTTACTTCAGGTCTTGGCTAAAACATCTGGTTTTCTGCCACCCACTACTACAATAAAGATGATGCCAAAACCGGAATACACCACAGACCTATCGTATCTTAAGACGGTTGTTGGTATCTATATGGTAATAGCGTTTTCACCTTATGTGATGTTCCTTCTAACATACATAGTGACTGAAAAGGAGCTGAAAATCAAAGAATCAATGAAAATTATGGGACTGAGCACATTCGCCTTTTGGTTTACCTGGTTCCTGACGTACGCAGTCATAATAACAATTGGGGTGATATTTGTCACTATCATTTCCAGAGTAGCCTTACTATATGGGGACAGTGACTACTTCATAATATTTTTGATATTTTTCTTTTACGGCCTCTCCATCGAAACATTGACATTTGTTCTAACCCCCTTATTCAAAAAAGGAAGAACTGCTGGTTCTGCAGGCTCAATGGCAACAATTGTTCTTGGCACCCTGTCCTTTTTACATGTCTATGTCAGTACATCAAATGCTGTAAAGTGGCTCACAGGCCTACTTTCTCCGGTTGCGCTGTCACTAACATTGATGTCAGCACTGGATGGCAATGAAGGTAAATGTTTTTCTTTACAAGACTTTCTAATTCTTCATCTTCTTGTAGATCGCACGCAAGCATCTTGATTTTATTATGATATCAAAAGTATCTCTTTAAAGAATGAGAAAATATCTCAGAGTAATAGATATCTTTTCTACCTAATTTCATCCAATCTACCTTGAAACCTGGCAAAATATACCGCTTTAAGTAGGGATCTCGTTAGGTTTAATCAAAGTAAAATCAGCCAGGTAATCGTTTCACGGAAGCGTATTCCTGACGTTTCTCCTGTTCATGAATGGTACTTTCTGTTTTCACGAATGATATTTCAACTTCCTTGCTATACAAAACTTGGCCTTTTTGTATTATCTAACCTTACTTGGAAATCTTCCGTTTCTTTTTTTGCTAAACATAAACATCAGAAATCTTGGGTTCCTCTCTAGGGCACAGGGGTTTTCTAACCCTGCAACTTTTTACAATTCACAAGTCTCAAATGTATATGTTCGGAGTATAACTCTCATATTTTGGGTGGCACTCCTAACTCTTGCAAAGACACAATGAATCACCACTCGCGTCAACAGCAGCTCTCACCTCACAATATCTCGTCAACCTCTTCCTCATCGGCGTTTTGTTGCTGAACTATCGACTTTTTACAGATTCTACAATGGATGTTGCTCTCAGGAGATCAGAGATGTGATCCTGGGCTCCCTGAAATCTTTTCGAAACATTATAAACTGTTTCTATGCTCACGCATTCCTATCTCCGTACCTAAATGCTCTTTCTCTCACCCATAACTCATCTTTCCTTCCCATAGCTTGTAAGCTTTGGAAAGTTTACCCTCTCGACCTACTTGATCCTCTTGCTCCTATAAGTCCTTCTCTCTTTGTTGAAGACCCCCTTTTGAATTAGCTTGCATCAGAAAATATTCCAAATTCATAAGTACTTAGGGACCAGATTCAAGAATATATTTTGGTCAAATTCTAATCTGATCTGTTTCGACTATGTTTCTTTAGGTGTAACTTGGAGCAACATTGGCAGTAAAGGAGATTTCCCAGTATCTTATGGCCTTGCATTGCTGTTTATTGACACGATTCTCTACTTGTTATTGGCCATTTATCTTGACTCGGTCTTTCCTGGGGAATATGGCCAAAGAAAAGAATGCTTTTTTTGTTTCAAACCATCGTTCTGGAAGGGACTATCATCAAAACGCGACCGCAAGCCTTCATTGTTTAGAGGCCATTCTGTAAGGCATGATGAACCTCAAGCTGATGTGGAGGAGTTACCTGAACACATGGCCGATCAACTTGCAATCAGGTTGGTATTTTTAAGAAGTTTTAAGCATGAAACGAATTAAAACTTAATATTTAGTGTATTTCTTATCTTTGTTTTATTCTTGCTTTGCCTAAAAATTTCAGTATTTTTCGAATACTTTTATATGATATGATTGTAATAATTGGCTGTTAGGTTTGTGCTGACCAGTAATTCTATTCGCCTTATGCCTATTGCCTATGAGACATTGCTATACTTGATCTTGTTATAATCTTTCCATATCAGCATTCGTGGACTGAAGAAAATTTTCAAGAAGAAGAAAGAGGAATTGAAGGCACTCGATGGTAAGTCGATTCTTGCATCGAATAGAATGCCTTAGAACATTAGCAAAGAAGGGGCCTTAGGCAGCTAAATGTAGAGGTTTGTCGTGTTGCTATTCTACATGAATCGGCATCTCGGTTTTTTAATCATTTTATTTGAATTAATTAGATATAATCAGCTATTTAGTACTAACTAAAAGAACGCGATAGTAACCGAGTGAATGAAAAACAAAATAAACTTTATTTGTAAAGTGAAAAAGTATACAATGAACCTATGAATACACATTTTTAAAGAAAGAGAGACAAATATTTCGCAGGAAATATCCTTTTAACAGATGTCCTTCCTTTTAGTAGCTAACAAAGATTGTTTATATTGTTGCCTGCTTCGATCACAAATGTAAATACACCTAGGTATGGTGTGAGGATAACTCAGCGAGTAGGATAGCGGACTACAGATTCAAGGGTCGTGGTTGGAGTCTTTGACACGACCAAACATCACTTTTCGTGGTATAGCCACTAGCTCTCTTTATGAAGAAATCATGAGGAAACTGATCAACAAGCACATCTTCTCAGTGTCCTAAGAACTACTTTCGGAATTTAGGTAGAAAAAAAGAAAAAAATTAAATAGAATGTTATTATGAATTTCACCCTTCTATCGTCTGACAGCATTCTTCCGATGCTAGAATAGGATTTATGGCAGTGAAATGCATATGAACGAGACCCTGATGCGTGCAATTTTTTCCAGGTGTGAGTCTTGATGTTTATGAAGGGCAAATCACAGCTCTTTTGGGACACAACGGGGCTGGGAAAAGTACCTTGATAGCAGTTTTGACTGGGATGCTTTCTCCAACTAGTGGCAGTGCCATGCTTTATGGAAACAGCATCCGGATTTCTGACGATATGGACAAAATACGAAAGGTTGTGGGTGAGTTGTTGAATTGAATCTGTATTGTTAAATTATGAACCGTTGACTGTCTTATTTTCTAGAAAACAACATTCAAGAATACTGAATCGATCAGGTCTTATTTTAAAGCAGTACCTTGCAGTTCTTTCCATGTCTACAATTAAACAGACCCTTCTTATGATCTTTTGAAGGCTGTGGCAGCGCATTTTTGTTCCGTTAACCACGCTCTTCTTATCTTCTGATGCAATCTTTTGGCTTCTCCCTAGCCTGCGCGCAGACTCGACAATTTTTTTTCAGGGATAAATTTAGTTGAATGAAAAAGAAACACTCAATTTTCCATTCAACTAAATTCATCTCTGGGAAAACCAGTCGAGTCTGCACGCAGCCTAGCTCGTATAGGTCTGTTTCATCCGTTCATCCACTGTACAAATATACTCTACTCCTTTTTGCATGCAAAATAGTTTTGTCCTGGTTTTATGTTATCTGCCAAAATGAATAAACCACTGGTCTTAAGTAAGTTTACTCCCCTTGAAGATGTCCTTGTTGCTTGCGGTGTATCACTTTTCTCTGTTTGTTTCTGACCTTATCTTTCCTTTTCACTTTTCTCTTTTTTATACTTTCCTGTCATATTTCCATTTGGCTTTGAGAAAAGCAATCTTTTTCATTTCTTCAGAGTATAAAGCAGCAGAATAACGATAAAAAACCCCAAGCTAGAAAATCTATCTACTTGTTTGTGGATCTAAATAGGCCATTCAGAAACACAGGTAGATTACCAAATATATAACAATCCGAAATATGTCCAATGTCTCTGCCAATTATCCATTAAAGTTGTTGGCATTTGGCTTTTGTTTTTTATTTCTTTCTGCCATCCTACGTCCTCTGCTACTGGTTTCTATCCGTTTCCACAATCGTCTGTTCCTTTCTCCCATTTTGAAATTTTTTTAACTATTTTCAAGGTAAAATGTTCCAGGACATTGTTTTTAACAATCTTTTAACTAATAATTGTTTCATTCTGCTTTTCTTCCTTCGATTTTTCTTATGCTTATCGTCTTTATTCCCCCCGCCCATATTCCACTGTTCTTTTGCTCTTAAATTTCAACTTTTTTCCAATTTTTTCTTTCCCATCTTTTCTTTTTCTATCACTTCTCCTTTTTTATCTATATTTCTCTTAATCGTCTCCTTCCTTCATTATCCACTTCCTTATCTTTTCCTTTTCTGTAAACCATTTCTTATCTCTTTCTCTCAGTTTTTCCCTTTCTCTTGTACTTCTCTTTGTTCCTTACTGAGAGAAAATGTGGTCGAGTGACATGACCCGAGTCTTTTGAAATCTACTCACACATATTGCCCTCCGCTTTACAAAGTTCATAGTAGCCTGCGTGCAGACTCTACGAAGGAGTAAAAATCCAGACGGGAAGGGTTTTGGAATGTTTTCTCCTCCATGGAGTCTGCACGCAGGCTAGTTCATAGGGAAGCTATCGCGACATCGATCGCAATGTGCACCGGGCCAGTCATGATAGAGGAGTTTTCGCACTAGGGGCCATTGCAACAACCACAACTGGAATGGGTCGAGAGAAAATTAGTGATGATGTAGCTGGATTTAGGTTTTTCCTTTGTTTGAAATTAAGAATGATTGAAATTCTATTTTCTCCCTTCATGATGAAAACCCAGTTTGTGGCTTCATGATTTGTCTTTCTCACTGCACAATTTATCCTTTCCAAGTTTCTACTGGTTTAAAGCAGATCAGTGTAGCAAATTATGCTTATATGTGTCAGTTTAACGATTGTGTTCGAGAACCACTTACGAGTGTTTCAATCATATTCTCAAATTTGTCATTTCAAGCTGTAGAAGCTTCTTTTAAAAATCAGCTCTGTAACTATTGCCTGGTTGTTTTGGAAGTAAACCTGCTTTTTCATTGATCTCTAGGATTCTGTCCGCAGCAAAATATCCTATTCCCGCAGCTTACACCAAGAGAACATTTGAAGATATTTGCTGGAATCAAAGGAGTTCCAACATCCGAAATCAATGATATGGTAAGGACTCATTCCGAGAAACCAAAGTGAATTATACAAGATTTAGGTTTAATTTGAAGGGAAACAAAGATTTAATTCGCAGTCTTTTTTCTAATAAAATACTGGATGACATTTTTCCCAGTGTTAAATTTCACTCTTTTTGTTGTTTATGGCGCTGTTTTGGTTTTTTATTTCTTTTATTTCTAAGTTTTGTTAGAATTATGAAAACATTTGTTTGTTAATATATAATTGTATATATTTGTTTCTCTAACTCGCCAGCTGTGCATGCATTACAGAAAATGTTTGAATAGCCAAGTTTGATTAAATAGCTCAGTGTAAAGAGATTCCTAGGATCTTTTATCATGCTACCTTCAGTGCCTCTCTTCTTTAAAAAGTAAAAATGCAGCGTCGCTATTTGTTAAGCAAGACTATATTTTCTGATTAATTAAGTAGGTTGTTTCTCTCCATTTTTAAGCAATATATTTCGAATTTAAAAGGTAAATCTGCGTTGGAATTCACTTGAGAGATATTACTACATAAATTCCAAATAAAAGCCTCAGTTTCCCTCCCTTTTCTGTCAATAAAGTTAAACTCAAAATATGAGAGGAATTCTTTTTCTGTAGTTGAAAGCAGTTCTGTACGTTGAAATTGTACACTTTTAGACAGAACATTTGGTAGATGTATCGTAATGTTATTTTGATTGCTTTCTCGATATTACATTTCTGCATTACATGCTCTGCACAAGATGCAAAGCAGCTGTTTAATTTTGTATTGACGGCAGATTGGCATTCACAAGACGTTATTGAGTCTCAGAATATGGATGAGTATTCATTTCAGTATTTTTCTTTTTGAAAGGTTGAGAAAACCTTAAAGGAAGTTGATCTGTTCGACAAAAGCGATTCAGTATCAGGCACTTTAAGTGGTGGGCAGAAGAGAAAACTCTGTGTTGGTATTGCTTTGATCGGCGACCCAAAGGTAAAACATTTTTCTGTTATGATGAAAACTAATAACTTAGCCATATGTGTTCTCCCACAAATATCTTTAAGGCGGTGCCCCATTCCTGTTAATTACCGGCTGATCGATCTCGGTTTTTTATGCGTGTATTTTGCAGTGTAATAATGGTATTACGCTCAGCTTTCGATCAAACCAGATGACGTTTCTCAAAGGTCTTATGAAGGCTTTGCGTGAATTCGGTTTTTTTCGGTTTCTCTTGACATTTTTGCTTTTCTGCTAATAAAAAGAATCTAGCGTTATCTTTGAGCTTAGAAAAAGTTATCGTTTTGCTCAAAGTTAGGCTACCCGTGTTAAATCTAAAGAAAGAAGTTGTTGTGAAGTTATGTTATTGAATTCCACTAAACTCTGAATTCACCCTAAAAAATCCAAAAACCTTGGCATGAGTGTTCTTTACGTCTTTTTTAACAACGTAATTAAGATTGTTAATCAGAATCAAGCATGTTTGAATTAAAGTAAGTAGGTAATACAGGAAGGAGTGTTATCGTTATATAGGACCGGGACCGTACCAGTTTCCAAGCATTCGTCGCGAATCAGAGAGGAAAAGAGTTTTGTAAGCAGAGTATGATACCAATAGTGGGGAGAAAAGAGTTTGGTTTTCTTTAGAGTTAGAAAGGGCAATCGCAATTTTTGTACACAATGTGAGAAAGTATATATTTTAATTTTTTTGTAGATTAAGCCTTGGTTTGATCTGAATTGATTTTTAGCGGAAATAAAATTTCAAAGATATCATATAGAAATTCATTTTACAGTTGCATGTTGATCGCATTGAGCATGAAACTCGGCGCTGCAACTTAGAATATGGCCTACGCCACGGATTTGAAAGTGGGGGGGGGGGGGCAGGCTGGAAAGATTAGGGGCCAAGGCTCTTTCCCTTTTTACTGCAGCTTTAAACTTCTTGCTTCGCAAAAAAGTGGGAGGGGGGCATGGCCACCCCGGCCCTATTGGTTGGTTGCATACCTGTAAATTCCTGTTGGTTGCATAGTACAATGGGCTATTGTTACATTTTTCTAATAGGCAGCACTTGACTAATTCTGAATTATAAAATGCGCCTTGGGCATATTTTTTAAGGTGAACGGACATGACATGACATAGTGTCTTTGATTAGGTTTGAATATATGTCAAATGGTGCAGCAAGGGGTTAATAGAAGAAAGAGCTGGAAATCAACTTTGGGAAGAGCTCAACTGCAGTAAGATATGGATTTATAGTTTTGACGGGGAGAAGGTAGCCTATATTACTTCAATTTCATTTCATCTTTGTATTGCATCTTTTTCCATAGGTTGTTTTTCTTGACGAACCAACAAGTGGTATGGATCCGAGTTCCCGCAGATACATCTGGAAGCTTCTTCAAGGGAAGAAAGAAAACAGAGTGATATTTTTGACAACTCACTTCATGGATGAAGCTGATATTTTGGCAGGTTAGGAAATGCCTAGAATCTAACTATATGGGTTTTTATATGAATAATCAGTTTTTCGTTTAGTTCTGCATGGAATAAAAGGCGTTTGTCTCCTATAGATAGAATTGTCCCTTGAAAACAATACGGTAAAGAAAACTGTCCTCCAAAATGTTTTCTGCATTTTCCCCAACTCTTTGTCTCTGTTTACCAGAAGTACCTCAGTTTAAGTCTATATTTTAAGCAAGAATCGTTCTTTCATCACTTTCATGTGGAAGAAAAGGCCTGCTGGCTTGTATCTGTATTTGTATTTGTTGCTACCTAGCTTCCGAAGGTAGTTTTTAGGACACTGAGAAGCTATGCTTAGTGTCCTGGTCCTTCCTCTCGAAGTGACCACACCTCGTGATTCCTACGCCTGGAATTACAGAGAGCTGGCGACTCTTCCCACTCTGGGTGAAAGTTTGGTCATGCCAGGGACTCGAACCCTTGGGTCTGTAGTCAGCGTCTTTAACAACTGAGCCATCCTCGCGCCTGCTGGCTTCTGCGTAGCAGAAAATTGGAATATAGAATTTACATTGTTGGAGGCTTGACCTTAGCTATTAGCCCAGATGGAAGAAAGTTTTCTTCTTCGCCATTTATGTACTTTGGGGAAAATATTCTAGTTATTCTAGGTAAAAGATTACTTGTAAGGCATTGAATCAGATTTAAAAGACTGGATAAGAACTAAGGTTGATCTGAATAAATTATGAATATACAAACTACAGTTTCATTGGCTAGTAGATTCTACGGGAATACATTCGGAAACTCATAAGGTGCAAAAGTAAACATTTCTACGGTATATCCCATGTTGATGAAGAGATGTCGTGGGAACATAGTGCACGTCTAGTGGAATTGCGATATGAAGAAATCATGAGAGTTTCCAGGGGTACATTAGGAGTGACGACTATATAATGAGTGAATAAATTAAGTAACAAAACGAATTAGACTGTTAAAAACTCGACGTTTCGAGCATGTACTTGTTATCAAGTCTACGTGTGGATAAAGTGACACACACAACTTACATAAAATATCGAACATTAGGAATAATCAGCCAAATCACAAAAATAGGACATCGAACTAACAAAACGGAAGCGTTTTTTTAAATTCTTGGGGACCTCAGTTCTCCACTAGGAGAGATTCTTAACTTTCAAAAATTAGCCAACTAGGGATTCTGTAAACGGTTTTCATATAAGCAAAATGAGTAAATTTCAAAAAGGAGTATATTGAGCGAGAGTTTCAATATGCAACCATCACTTTCAGTTTCTTTGTATTAGCTTCTAATTTCACCAGAAATTTTAAAATGGAAAGGTAAATCTCACCGTTTTTGACTGCGAAGTAAACTGTTTGTTTTTTATGTCAAAGGTCAATTCAGCTAACATTTCAGCTTCATTTAAGTAAAATGTTTAAGATTTATCGAAATAACTCACAGTTTAACCGTTGTTCCAGGCAGTGGGTTTAACCGCTGTCTTGGTACAGCTCTTCCCATCATGCAATACCTTAATCTGTAATCAGCACATGCGCTCCATCTCAATTTTTCTCTAAACTCATTACCCTGCTCTACATCTAAAATCATAGTGTAGAAATAAGCTTTTTTCCTATAATAACTTTCCATACAAATTTGATTTTGAATTTTCTTTTTTCAAAGATTACAAAGCTGTCTTATCAAAAGGAAAACTACGCTGCGCAGGATCATCACTCTACCTTAAAAGTCGATTTGGAGTTGGCTATTACCTGAGGTAAGGCTAACAATGTAGTTGAAGCTTGTATGATCCAACACTTTTTCGGAAATTTGGTGGTCAGTCTCAAAACTTACAACTGCGAAGGCAAAATGATAATAACAAATATGCCCAAAAGTTCTGCCGATGTTGACTTGTCTGTCCTTTTACACAGAAGTGGAAATTATGGAAGAGCGATGGGGGCAAGGTACCCCAAGGTTAATAATTATTGCAAAATTTATTATTTTGTGTGAAGCTAAGTTATAATACTGGCTACATCTGTGAAAATAAAGGTGGAGAAATTGTAGGTGAAAATTAAAAAAGTGCTTAATAATGGAAAAAATTTATCTAAACAGCAGGTTGCCCTCTGTTTTCTATCCGCCGTTGTAGCTACATGTTGAATTTGAAAATGTGTTATTGCAACTTGCTTTTTAGCATGGTCACTGAAGAAGACGCTGACAGAGACAAAATTGTTGACTTGGTAACAGGCAAAGTTTCCGGTGCTGAAATGTCAAGAGTCCATGGCAAAGAGCTCAATTTTAGACTTCCGATGAAAAGTGTAGACCAGTTTCCAGGTAATGACATTGTTCTAGTAAAATGAGGGGTTCAGTATCATTTTTTTGTGAAGGATGAAAGTTACTTTAATTGTGAAATCAAAGTATCCGTGGTTAATTTTAGGAGCAGGATGTGAGCTTCTGATCAAAGGCACGCTCTATTTGAGCGTCACTAGGGCATCCTCAATTGCTTTTTTGTTTACTAAGTGTATGTCTTTTACAGTACTTCAAGTAGGTACAAATTTCTCCTTTCAAATGAGTACAAATTTCCATTCTCCTGCTTTCCTTAGCAATGAAGCCAATTTAACAGGGCTCTTATTGATGCAAGCACATTTGTTGCTGAAAAGAAACCCTGTAAAAAGAAATGATTTTCATTATTATTATTATATCAATTTTGGCTGTCAAACGTCAACAGTTGAGTGCTTCGTATGTTCGAGCTTGAATTGGTTTGAAATTATTTTCATATTAATGGAATCTGTTACTCGAACAATATTACAATATTAGAGTTTTTCTTGTTATTCTAAACCACCTCCTTTTGCATGTTAGAAAGTAATTGTATGTTAAATTATATATACATGAAAAGGCTCCCTTTATTCTCGGAAATATGACAGTGTGATATTGTGTAATCTTGCTCCTGGTGGAATTTTTCAAATCTCTAATAAAATTTTGCTGTTTATTTCTATCTATTTGTGGCATGCTGTTATGATTTTCAGGCACCTTTTAAACGACTATGGTGTGTTTATTTGCTAACGCTCTGTCTATGATTGTTTTGTAGATCTTTTTGCATCCCTTGAGGAGGCAAACCCAACGAACGAGCCTTGCAGTGCTTCTAATATAGGAGTCACAAGTTATGGTGTATCAATGACAACACTGGAAGAAGTGTTTCTCAAACTAGACGACGATGAGAACCAAATATCAGAGGGCGTGATCAACCCACAGACACAGGAATCAACAGAAAATCTGGTTATAGATGATGGTTTGAAGGCGCCTCGCTTGTCAACGAATGATGTTCGGGTGAATGTGCCTGAAATGCAATGTATTACCACTAAAGGATTGTTAATGCAGATGTGGCTGCAGCTCACGGCATTGCTTGAGGTAATTTTCCATGTAGGCTTTGCACCATCATTTAAATATCATTAGAAATACTTGAATAATAGGTCAAATGGACTTATTGGATACAGACAGAACTGATCCTATCCAAAGCTATGCATGCGTATTTGTGCGTTATCTGTTTTAAAAAAAATAACAGTTTTCTTTAACGAAGGTAATTAATCAATAGACGCATTTTTAGAAAATCTAGCAAAATTATATCCCAACTTTGATGAAAATATACGTGGGAGTCACTTTAGGTTGGTTATTAAGAAGACGCTATCAGTTATCAGGTACTACGCTGTCTACTGCGATGCCTTTAGGCTAAAGTTAATGATTCGTTTACCGGTTACTGCTTTACAAAGGGACTAGCTCTTACTACGAGAAGTCAATGCAGGTGTACACCAAGGCTCGGTATTGGGGCCATTCCTATCAACTTACATGAAAATATAACCGTATCATCTTACAGGACTGCATCAAATTAATTCACATATAAAAATGTTGAAGTGCAAAAATCGCGCTCCCTTTTAAACGCCATCTCTTCAAAAATTCTTTGAACTGGGGCAGTTATCGGAAAACATGGATAAAATTATGAACACATACTTTGAGAGTTAAGCTATTATTTCAATTATTGTAAGCAGGTACAGTCATGTTTTTTTAAGTTTAAATATGACTATAAGAACAATTATATTTTCAAAAAATAATTTATTTTATCTTTACAAACATGAAGTATAGAAGAGGGCACCCTCCAATGATTGCCCGACACAGCATAACTGCTTTTACAGAAAGAAATAATAGTCTATTTTTGAAACTCACAAAGAACAGTTAATGAAAATTGATTTTATTCGTTAAAAAATAATAATGAGTTGAAGAAAAAAAAAATGATGGAAAAAATGGCGTTGTATTTTATCATAAAAGTAACAAATGCAATACCTCTGTATGGTCTATGCCTAATTATGCTAAATTTAAGTTATACTTAAAGAGACAATACTAAATCCATGTTAGATCTTTTACTTTCTTGCTACATCTGAAATAGGTTATGCATTCAAGGTTTATGTTGAATTTCAATTAGGTACCTAGACCAACTACAGGTATTCCAAAATAGAGTTGAACTCATACTTTTGCTTTCAATTTCCTCTAAGGATTTTAGGATTCCAACATACTGAATAAGAAACTACGCCAAGGAACAAAAGCGCTCAAATCTGCTGATTTGTATCAAATAAGTTTTGAAAAAATAATTTATTACTTCACGAGACTAAAAAAGGCGATTATTTCTATACATTAAATAAGCATTGAAGATATAAATAATTTTAAAGCCCAAATAGGAAACAAACTTCAACAATCTCTAAAATTCTACTCCAGCTACAATCATTCAATTTAGGACTAAAAGGCATATCCTTGTACAATATATAATTTGCAGTCCTAGAATGCGTTATAATTTTTTTCATTTTTAGCTGCAGTGTGATTATTCTAGCATTGATTTCTTAACCATTCAGACCATTTTAATTTCATGTTTTTAAGAAACTAACCAAATCCTATTTTAATTTGCGAATGGTAGCTGTTTGCGAATCTTCATCAGTCTTGTTGAAACGGGCTGAATCTAGCTGGATTTGCCTTCTGTTTTAAGATTTCAGTTTGACCATATTTATCTGGAAAACTGAATCAAACATCCACACCTGATTTTCTTTTTTTCCTATCTTCAGGTTAGATTCTGGAGCACATTAAGAAGCCCAATGAAGATTTTGTTTCAAGTCGTCATTCCACCAATCTTTGCAATTGTTGGATTGGTATTACTTCGCAAAACAGCAACATCCGGGACAGCAGCTATTGTAAAGGGCCTCTCATTGCCCCCGTCCACATATATCAAGCAAGGAGGTGTCGGTGTCTCATTTAAAGATCACACGGAGGCGCTGTTTCAGAACAGCACCAAGAATAGTATAGAAGACATAATCCAAGCCGCTTACAACGAAAGCCTTGGGTATTCAGTCGTGGATTCCATAGCAACGGCGCCCGTACCTCATGATCTAGGGTTCGACGTTCGTACATATGACACGCTAAATGGACAGGTAATTATTAAACGTGACTCAATGCCAGGTCTTAGAATTATTGTTATCATTCTTAACAATTCGTTTTACGTTGGAAATGCAAATTTATATATGTATTGCAAATAAGCTTATTGTACGGAATGACTGAAAATCAAATGGCTATTCCATTAATCTTTTGCACTGCAATTGAAGCATCATTTTCAAAACTCGAAAAACTCGAAAGGCCGGTTTCCACTTCAGCTAATTCTTCCGCGAATTTTTCAGCGAATTAACCGAGCGTGTTTCCAATTAAAGGGAAGCTGTGTTTCGCTGAGAAGTTGGTCTCCTTTCAACTTAGCTAAAGCTTTCGCGCAAGTGGAAACCGGCCTTAAGGCTGATTTCCACTAGGCGAATTCTCTCGCGCGAATCGAAATTTTTCTAATGTGAGCATGCGTGGTGTCATGTTCTCAAATTTCGCAGCGAAAAAAATCGATTCGCAGAAAGTAGACCACGGTCCTATTTTATCACTACGGCTCTTTATTCGATTCGCGCGAAAGAATTCGCCTAGTGGAAATCAGGCTTAAAACCGTAGTAAAAATAATTTTCTCACAACCACGCGGATTTTACCTCTACATATGCTTTGCCATGTGGTGCATCAAAACTCTACTTTTATCCGATACAAATATAATCATTATCTGCTATGCTCATAACCCAGATCTACTTTTTCTTCTTATGTAAAATTATATTTGTATATTTTGGTTATGTTTATTCTTAACCGCTTCTGCATTTCGTCATGTTTTTCGTCTTATTTTCACTCTTTAAAGATCCTTTGAAGTGTCCGTCACTGATTTTTTTCTCATGATAACGACAATGTAGAAACCTTGTCACTTCCCCTTTTCAATTTCAAACCATTGTGGTCAGTCTCGGGCTTGTCATTCAAGAGCCATTTTTGTTTTTATATGAAATTCTTCGCGGCTGGATGCTTACATCTTCTCGCCATATATAATGTTAATACCATGTCTCTCATCTCTATAAAATTTCTAGCACATAGCTTGCATTTTTTTCGTGTTTCTTTTTGTAATTCGTTGGTAGTTTATTGCTCTATGCTGTAAGAGATGGGAGACATGATTTTACAGGAGCCCAATCTTTGCAGGCTACTTATGTTGTGAGGTACAACGACACGAGTTTATACTCGATTCCAGTGGGAATTAACACGATGAGCAATCTCGAGCTGATTGTTGCACTGAAGAAGGCAAGCCATCAATACTCCGGAAAACGGAATCCAATATCAGCAAAGACCAAACCATTCCAGTCCCTCAAGGTCCCTTGGACCTACGACAATGATGCGATGGCCGCCATTCTGCTTCTTGGCTTGACTTTTGCATTTATGCCCAATGGATTTTCAATTGAAGTGGTCAAGACCAGACAGGTAACATGTTTGTTGTTAGGCCCGAAACCCGCCCAAACTTCAACCAGAGGCAATGAAGTATTGGGTGGCAAGTTGCTTAGAGCGCATTATGTTCTGATGGCATATTGACTGTATGAGTAAATGATGTCGAAAAGGCAGATTTTATCGGTCATTTATTTTCAAATCGATATGTTAGATGTCGACATTTGCTTCTAGAATATACTAGAATACTAGAGGACATGACATGAAATGACATGACATGACATGACATGACATGACATGACATGACATGACATGACATGACATGACATGACATGACATGACATGACATGACATGACATGATATTACATGACATGACATGACATGACATGAAATTACGTGATGTGACGCGACGTGACATGACGTGACATGACGTGACATGACGTGATGTGACGTGACGTGACGTGACGTGACGTGAGGTGACATTACATTACATTATATCACATAACGGGGCTGTATACATCTAATGGTATATTATCTTAATGTGGTCATGTTTTTCCCTTTTATAGGAAGGGCTGCGTCATCAGCTTCGTGTGTCAGGCGTCAGTCGATGGGTCTATTGGCTCCACTTTCTCGTTGGCGATCTTTTATTGTATATCATCCCAACCGTCATCGTCTTTATACTCATTGCTGCTTTCGACATCAAGTCACTAAACAATTCCACGGCACTTGGATGCGTGTTTTTGCTCTTTTTGCTTTATAATCCAGTGTCACTTCTGTTTGCATATGTCATATCATTTGCGTTTAATAAATGGGAAACAATTCAGAATGTCATGGGCACAGTACTCATGTTTGTAAGTGTGTTCTTTATTCACTTTATATAAGAAGCTCGTTTCCTAAATAGAAGAGTTGAATATAGTTGATATGCATGTAGGCTTGAAACGTGGAGCAACCCAACAGATTTTTAACTTTTCTGTTATCATGCGTGACTGATATTAAGAAAAAATTAAAAAAGTGAAAAAAGTGAAAAAAGTAGAAACGTACCTTGCTTTATTTTACTCTAAGTTAAGAATAGTTTGCCTCAGATTTGATCTCCTTAAGTTTTATTTTCACTGCTTGTTGTAGCGAAATTACACTCATCCTACGTTGAATGCTTGTTTTTATCAAGATCATTAGGCTTTATTCATTTACCATGTATATGCGGTGTTCGCTAGTTTCCTCGTGTTTAACGCTCCTTCTTTACCAGTGGCTTTTTGCTTTCTGCTTTGTTTTCACCACCCCTGGTGTACTTTTACCCTTTTCTTTCTTTATCGTTCCGTTTCTTGTCTTGTTAGCATTATCTGCTTATCAAACCAACTTTTGTAGTATTTCCAGTTCGTTTCGTATTTGATGTTGTGTGTTTCTTGAGTTGCTTAGTTGTGATTTTACTTTGTTTGATTGCTTTATTTGTTTATCTAAAATTATCTTGATTATATTAATATGACAAATATAAACATATGGTATTGTATGCAAAAGAAAATCTAAACAAATATTGCCGAGTTAAAGATTTCCTTAAGTTGCAGCTTCAACTAAATTGGGTAAACAGCTTCCTTGTGTTTTTATTCAATTCAATATTTGTAAGTAAACTTCTTATTTCTACAGCTAGCACTTGGACCCTATATGGCCGTGTCAATTACTGATATGGTATCTGGCAGCATTGAGATGGAAAAAGCAGTTTCCATTGTTCACTTGGTCTTCCTCATTCTCGACCCTCCGTACGCAGTTATGGGGGGCTTATACTTCATAACCAGGGTTAGTGTATATATACTTCTTTTTATGACTAACCATCGATTGGTTTTCCAAAGCCAATAGGCTCCATGAACACCAGTATATAAATTTTGTTGGAATTTGTTTTTTCTGTGCTATGATTGGACAAAACTATAGGCCAATCAAAGGTGACCAATCGCTTGTGTTTCAAACCAATCAGAAAGACTGTTTTTGTGTCACGCTCTTTAATGCAGATGAGGCTCCAAGAAAACAGAGTCAGATGATAGAAATTGCTTGAGGATTTACCTTGTTGTCCATCTAAATATTTGCCATATTGTATCATCAACAAGAGTGAATATGCTGATAACATATATTGTCCCTTTCTTTGTCATTTTGTTTATCAAGCTTTGTACTGCTGATTTTATTTACCTGAAATGTCTTTTTCTTATTAGATTTGGAGGGTAGAAGCACTTATCGCTCAAGATAACGACGTCAAAATACCAGCCAGTAAATACTTTGAGTTGTCACTGGCCAATGGATTGCCCATAACGTTTATCGTTGTAAGTGTCCATCAGTTTATACCGATTTGGCTGTATCTTAAAAATTGCTGAGCTTTTGCTATACACTGTTTCTGCCTAGAATACTGGTCTTAGAAATCTGTCTTTAATGTTTGATGCTGTTATTCTATGTATCCTAGAATTGTTCAATTCTTTAGCGTGTTTTGAAAAGCATAGACAAGGAACTATGAAAATGAAGATTGATCATGCCGTTAACCATTTCTCAGCGTTGTGATATATTGATCTTTAAAGCAGTTGGGTTGTCGGGGATTGCCTTGCTTTCAATGATCGAAAACTGATTTCCACAATAGCTACTAAATCATCAGTTGGATGACTTGATTGAATCATTGAATCGCCGAATCGCAGAATCTTCGAGTTTCTAACTAACTGGATATTAAATAACTCGTTGAATTACTTATTACAATTAATATATCGTTGGAATTTTATTTGACTAAGTCACCTAATTGTTAATCTGCACCCAAATGTTGTTTGACGATCATTTTTTTCTCTTAGTTGACTATCCAGCTGTTCTTCTACAGCTACCTCCTAGCCACTCTGGACCTTTGGTTTGCTGGAGGAGTAGTCCAGTTTCCTTTCAGTTTATGCTGTGGAAGGTAATATAGACAAATGTTTAGATGCTGTATCATAAATAGTTCAGTGGTGACTATCTAGCTGTTCTTGTACAGTTACCTCGTAGCAACTTTGGACCTTTGGTTTGCTGGAGGAGTAGTGCAGTTTCTTTTCAGTTTATGCTGTCGAAGGTAATATAAACAAATGTTTAGATGCTGTATCATAAATAGTTCAGTGGTTGACTATCCAGCTCTTCTTACACAGCTACCTCCTAGCCACTTTGGACCTTTGGTTTGCTGGAGGAGTAGTCCAGTTTCCTTTCAGTTTATGCTGTGGAAGGTAATATGAACAAATGTTTAGATGCTGTATCATAAATAGTTCAGTGGTTGACTATCCAGCTGTTCTTGTACAGCTCCCTCCTAGCCACTTTGGACCTTTGGTTTTCCGGAGGAGTAGTGCAGTTTCTTTTTCAGTTATGCCTGTGAAGGTAATATAAACAAATGTTTAGATGCTGTATCATAAATAGTTCAGTGGTTGACTATCCAGCTGTTCTTGTACAGCTCCCTCCTAGCCACTTTGGACCTTTGGTTTGCTGGAGGAGTAGTCCAGTTTCCTTTCAGTTTATGCTGTGGAAGGTAATATGAACAAATGTTTAGATGCTGTATCATAAATAGTTCAGTGGTTGACTATCCAGCTGTTCTTGTACAGCTCCCTCCTAGCCACTTTGGACCTTTGGTTTGCTGGAGGAGTAGTGCAGTTTCCTTTCAGTTTATGCTGTGGAAGGTAATATAAACAAATGTTTAGATGCTGTATCATAAATAGTTCAGTGGTTGACTATCCAGCTGTTCTTGTACAGCTACCTCGTAGCCACTTTGGACCTTTGGTTTGCTGGAGGAGTAGTCCAGTTTCCTTTCAGTTTATGCTGTCGAAGGTAATATAAACAAATGTTTAGATGCTTTATCATAAATAGTTCAGTGGTTGACTATCCAGCCATTCTTGTACAGCTATCTCGTAGCCACTTTGGACCATGGTTTGCTTGAGGAGTAGTGCAGTTTCCTTTCAGTTTACGCTGTGGAAGGTAATATGAACAAATGTTTAGATGCTGTATCATAAATAGTTCAGTGGTTGACTATCCAGCTGTTCTTGTACAGCTACCTCCTAGCCACTCTGGACCTTTGGTTTGCTGGAGGAGTAGTCCAGTTTCCTTTCAGTTTATGCTGTGGAAGGTAATATAAACAAATGTTTGGATGCTTTATCATAAATAGTTCAGTGGTGACTATCTAGCTGTTCTTGTACAGCTCCCTCCTAGCCACTTTGGACCTTTGGTTTGCTGGAGGAGTAGTCCAGTTTCCTTTCAGTTTATGCTGTGGAAGGTAATATGAACAAATGTATAGATGCTGTATCATAAATAGTTCAGTGGTTGACTATCCAGCTGTTCTTGTACAGCTACCTCCTAGCCACTTTGGACCTTTGGTTTGCTGGAGGAGTAGTCCAGTTTCCTTTCAGTTTACGCTGTGGAAGGTAATATAAACAAATGTTTAGAGGCTGTATCACAAATAGTTCAGTGGTTGACTATCTAGCTGTTCTTGTACAGCTACCTCGTAGCTACTCTGGACCTTTGCTTTGCTGGAGTAGTAGTCCAGTTTTCTTTCAGTCTATGTTGTGGAAGGTGATATAAACATATGTTTAGATGCTGTATCATAAATAGTTCAGTGGTTGACTATCCAGCTATTCTTGTACAGCTACCTTGTAGCCACTTAGGACCTTTGGTTTGCTGGAGGAGTAATGCAGTTTCCTTGCAGTTTATGCTGTGGAAGGTAGTATAAACAAATGTTTGGATGCTGTATCAAAAATAGTTCAGTGGTTGACTATCCAGCTGTTCTTGTACAGCTCCCTCCTAGCCACTTTGGACCTTTGGTTTGCTAGAGGAGTAGTGCAGTTTCCTTTCAGTCTATGCTGTGCAAGATAATATAAACAGATGTTTAGATGCTGTATCATAGAAAGTTCAATGGTTGACTATCCAGCTGTTCTTGTACAGCTACCTCGTAGCCACTTTGAACCTTTGGTTTGCTGGAGGAGTAGTCCAGTTTCCTTTCAGTTTATGCTGTGGATGGTAATATAAACATATGTTTAGATGCTATATCTTAAAAGAATTCAGTTGTAGTTTAAATTGCGGCAGCAGCTACAAATTTTTTTCATTCTTGCAAAATTGTTTTGACATGACTACAGTTATATATTATACCCCTTTAGCACATATAACTGAAACATGTTTTTTAACGAAATCGCGGCTTTGGTTTCTGTGAATATTTAACTAAGGTTACAGTTTTCATCTTCATCTCCTTGAACCTAATTGTGCTCGTGAGCCACCGTTTATATAATTGATTTCAAATGATTACTGCCTACTTATCGTCATAAGGTGATCGATACTGTATAGGCAGAACTGTAAATGCTTTTAGTGGTTCTACTCCGAGTTTCACGCTCGCGGTCATTAGACAATTGTTCAAAGTCGTATTTTAGCTACTGTTTCATAAACCAGCTCAACCATCTTTATTTGAGAATTCTTCTTTTGGTTGCTTGTTATCTCAATACTATATCGATTTATTTTTATTTCTTGAATTTTAACGTACTTATGAGACCACTAGTATCTTCTGTGGTTTCTTCTATTGACCAATGCTAACAGAAGAAACGTTGTGCTGTACAGAACGTTTTCGTTGTGTAAACTTCTTTAAAATCCAGGTGACGAAGTAAATAAGCAGTTGTCTGATCATATTTTTTTGTTTTTTTTAACTAGAAAGTCTTCTTCTGCTTCGAAAGTCGATAATTCAAGTGAAACAGAGCAGACAGAAATGAATGAAGATGTCAAGGAAGAAATCCAAACCGTTACAGATCTTTGTAATCAAGGAGCGCAGTCAGATAGAGCGGTAATTGTAGAGGTATGAAAGTGAATCCTGAAATCTTCGTCATTTATTATTTTCAAAATTACCTCTACTTTAATTACTTTAAGATATACAGATTTCCACTTAACTAAGCAGATGATGATTTTTTTGAATTCCTTAAAGGGCCTGAGAAAGTATTTTGGAAAAAAGAAAATTGTCAATGATGTCTACCTGGACGTGAAACGCGGAGAAATCTTTGGATTGCTTGGGCCTAATGGAGCAGGTAAAACGACAACACTGAATGTGATGACGGCTGACTATAGAGCTACGACTGGAGAGGTAATTCCAAGCAATGCTTACTTTATAATTTTTGTTTCGGTATACCAACAATGCTGGACACAGCTGTTGGGAAAAACCTCTACGTGAGTAGCATGCATGTAAGTAGCAATTACGTGCATAGCATGCATGTAAAGTCCTATATTAAACTCTAGTTCAATATTGGTGCATATGCACTCTGATAGTAGAGATATTAAGGCAATTGGGGGTGGGGGGTTGGAAAGTTTAAATACCGTTTGTCTGGGATTTTAGATATTTGAAGGCAAAAGTAATGTGAACCCCCTCTTCCGTTCACCATTCAAAATTAGTGTATATGTACCTTGATAGAAGAGATATAATTGTATGACAGAAATATAACAGTAATTTAATTTGTGGGGAGATAAAAAATTTAAACACCGTCTGCTTGGATTATAAGTCCATTAACAAACAACTATTGTTTATGCCTTTACAACATTGTTAGATTGAAAGAAGTTTGTTTGCTCTTCTTAGAAAACAAAATAAAAATTAAAATTTAAAAGGACCTTGACTGATAGCAGCTTCTGAGCAAGCTGACCAATTTTCTTATCCTTTATGAGTGTAGATTATTATTATTGAAGAGTCAAAATTGAATTGACTATTTTATAGGTAAAAATTGTACTGGTACATGAACTAGTTTTTGTAAGCAAAGGAAGTACAACGTGTGATCGAAGCACTTGATTATAAAAAGTACTTCGTTTGGTTTTCGCTTAATGAATATATTTCTATGCAGTTAAGATAAGAAATCTTTAGTGCCAAAACTACGAGTCGTTGATTTTAATTGATGAAAGAGAGCTTCAAGATCCTTCTGCTGGAAATAGACACGTTATTTCTTTTGGAGAAAATTTAGGAAATTACCAGATTTCTATCGTATGTGCTTCCATATTTTTGAGTAGGGAATCCTAGTGTTTCATCGTGTTTATCTTGCTTTGGAAAGTTCTTCTCGTCAAAACGGCAATAGCATCCTCTGTATGAACGTTTAAGAATTTAAAGAACCTCGAGTTCTTTCTATGAAAAACGTTTATTGACGCAATCCTAAAGATTCCAATCTTTCTAAGGAGAAACTCTAGATCTTTTTTTTATAAGAACAATTTTATAAGAACACGAGCCTCAAAATTGACCAAAGGTTAGGTATAAATTAAAAACAAGCTGAGGCTGAGCTTCTGCAAAATGCAATCTTGAACAACATTTTTTCTCAAAATGGAGGATTTTTAGCGACGTGTGGGTGCTTTTTCGGTGAATTTTCAAACCTATCAGCAAATAAAGGTTGTCACACTCACTTTTTTGGCAAATGAGGCCTGACTATCTTCCTGGAGCGAAAAATCTAGCGCTCGCATTGCTTACACCCTATCAAATTAAAGACAAGTTAAGAACAATCCAGCCTCAGATTTTTGAAAAAAATTAAGAACAGTCAGCCTGAACTTAACTTTACTGGTTCTTATAAAAAAGAGTGTAAGGTATAAATGAGTGAATATTAAGAATGACTTTGGAAACGTACAATCGATATAAGGTGAAAACAAAAGAAAGAAGAAAGTTACTTTGGTAAAATCACAAGCACTGCTGAAAGTAAACACCAAATTAACATTAGAATTAAACCGCAGATTGTAGTTTTTATGATAATGTTCGTTGTTGGTTCGGAGCGTTTTTGAAGAATTTTTCCGAGATTTTGCCTCTTTCTATTCGATTTGCAGTACATTAATGCCCCTTCTCATAACCTTGTTAATTTTCACATCATTAAAGTCGCCTTTTAAACTCTTTTTATGAACAAAGGAGCATAATCTTCGTTTTTCCACAATTTCACATTGAACTAATACTCAGCAATATCCTTGACTGAAATGTTTCGTTCTATTTAAGCAATTATTGTATCTTTATTATTTAAAGGTTTTCCTCGATGGACACAGCACTACCTCTGAGCTGGCCAGTGCGCTAATGGGCCTTGGCTATTGTCCGCAAATCGATGCCTTATGGGAGCTTGTTACCTTAGAAGAGCATCTGAAATGTTTTACCTTGATAAAGGGTGTGCCAAGAGATCAGGCTGATAATCTTGTCAGGCAGTGAGTATGACGCCAGCGAAAGCTGTGTGACAAAATCTTCTTTCCATTGTAATTATCATGTTCCTAGGGTAATTATTCATTTAAAAAAATGATTTTGAGAAATATTCCGAGTAAAAGATCACGTAAAACAGCCTGCTCAAAGCCAACACAAAGTCAACAACAAGTACTATTACTTTGGGAGGGGAGATATCTCTTGGATACTTCCATTATCCTCAATATCTAATCAAAAAACGATTTGAAATTTACAATAAATCAGTTTTCAAATTCTATATAAACAATCCCAATCCCCTTTTTCAAACGCCGTTTTAAACAACAAATGGATGTATAAGTCAAAATCTTTGATGGTTAGTAGGATGGCTTAAATCAAATTTTTAATGGAATTGTTCACTGTGTGATAAAAGCATGAAAATTGGTACACATGCAGTTTTGCATGCCAAGAAAAAAGAGCTATATAAGCACTTTGGCCAACTCCCTGAAAGTCTTTTGTTAAACTGAGAAGGCCGTTCCCAGACCTTTAGCTCATTTCTTCAAAGACAGCAGCATCAAAGAGTCAATTCAAAGCCTCTATATAAATTCAATCATGTAGAATCTAAAAATAAATGCAACTAAAAAGCAAAATTCTAAGAAAATGCTATTTTTTAACATGAACACTCGTTCCCAGACCAAGAGTTGCATTTGCAACCTTATAAGATAGTTATAAGAGAGCAACTTACTTACCAAAGAGGAGTCATCTGGAACAATTCTCTGGAAAAGCAGCTGCAGCTCCCCTCTCCTTGTGAATTGGGATGATAAAAGATGAGACCGGTTCATATGAGCCACATTGTACAAACCTTCCAGATGCCTCTAAAGCCTTCAAGGAATTTATTTCGTGCAAATGCAACAAGGGATGCAAGATAGGTTGCAAATGCCAGAAGGCGGCTCTTCGGTGTCCCCAACTCTGGTTTGTGAAGGAGACTATGAAAGGCAGTGACTTTGGATTAACTATCTGAGCCAGAGAAGCTGAGCCAGAATGAATGAATGTTCGTCCCTTGCACATTCCCAAGATTTTTGGTCCACATCATGACTTACCAATAGTTGTACCTGTTATAGATTTTCCCATAAACCCAACTCGAAGATCTAGAAAAGTGTTTCTTAACTAGCCTAAGAATAGGAACAACTATTCTACATTTTGCTACCAAGCAACAAAAGTTTCATTACTTCCAAAAATCAAGCTTAAAAAGTCTTGGAAAAAGTACATTTGTTTTAAAAATAGCAACCAGAGGCTGTTTTACTGTCTTTCACTTGGTGTAAGAATTTAGCGCATTAGATTTGATACTACAACCGTTATTACCCACTTATAAAATAAATCCAGCACAATTACCGAATAGCCTAATTTAGAGGTCTGGGAATGAGTGTTCATGTTTAAAAATAGCATTTCCTAGAATTTTACTTTTTAGTTGCATTTATTTTTAGATTCTACATGATTGAATTGATATAGGGGCATTGATTGATTCTTTTATGCTGCTGTTTTCGAAGAAATGGGCTAAAGGTCTGGGGATGGCATTCTTATTCTAAGAATAGATTCTCAAGGAGTTGGTCAAAGACCACTTTTTAAAGCTTATTTTTCTCAGTATGCAAAACTGTTTATGTGTACCAATTTTCATGCTTTTGTCACAAAGTGCACAATTATTTTACTGGTCTCTGAGCAATTTGTTATAAAATACAAATTTCATAAAAGATTGGCGGGGTGTCCCCTCGTTTCTTGCTCCCTAGCAGAGTCTGTTGTTCGTCGTTGTTGTTCTGGTCAGTTTTGTGTCCTCTCTGACCCACAAAAATGAGCGCCGAACATCCAACGCCTATTGTATAATTCATCTCATTGGAATCTAGACAATCCTAAACCAACTGAGACATTGTGCTTTAAAGACCCCGTTTATACTGTGCCGGATAAATATTATCCGCAAAAAAATTTTTTCAGATTGATTTGCGTTTACACTGTGCCGTACAAATTTTGTCCTCTTTGCCCTACCGTTTACTCTGTGCCGAATAATTGCCCAAAACGAAGTCATCTATAGGCAACAAAATCACACTAGCAACAAAATTAACTAACAGCGAAAAGATTGTTTGCATATAACAAAACTCCCGCCAAAATGCCAAAGGTGCAAACATTTTTCATTCTCTCTTCAGGATCATCTGCTTCTCGTTCAGACGAAGTCCGAGGATTTTGTCAAAAAATTAGGCCTAGACAGTTTTAATAATTCGTTCTCTTCTCGGAAACAAAATGACTCTGAAATATCGAAGATGTAGGGAAGGGTAACAATGATACCAATGTCACGTGGACTGGCAAAGAGGCTGCACTTTTAACACGAATTTATCGACTGCAAGGCAGACAAAGTGACGAAAATAAAATTTATCCGGATAAAGCCATTTACACTGTACTTTAACAACCTATTAATGAAGTTACAGTCTCAAAGGACGAATTAATATGAAGCGAACTCGATGGTAAAGAGACGTACGTCGGGTGTTTATCTCATTTTAAAACCAGCTAACTTTCTGAACAAAAACAGCTGACTGTAACTAGCGTAGCGTAACATAAATAAACACACAGCGACAAGACAGCGATGTACACAAAAGAATCAAGAGACAAAAAAAGGGAATGGAAATGTCATTACAGGTCACTACAGTACCACATAGCTATCTTCCTATCTGAACTAACTTTGTTCGGATAGCCGCTCTCAAATTTGTGCGGATAGCGTGGGCTAGAATGTAGAAGTTTGATTACAAACAAGCAACATAACCATGAATACTGAATTTTGGTCCGACTGGGTGTTTGCCTTTTTCTGCTGATTTCGCTTCCATTTTAATATCCTTTTTTTTACATTAGCAAAATCAAATTTGAGACCATCATCATTTGTTTCCAGACTTTTAGTATTATGAAAAATGTTGTATAATAAACAATGTAGAAGATCAAGAGACGAGAACATCAGTTGAAAAAGAAGACGTCATTGGCATTTTATTTTAAAAAACGAAGAAATTTCCATTTGAAAGTTTGAAGAAAAGATTTAGAATCACCAATCAATTTTGAATATCATGAGTGAATTGAGAGACTACTGCCTGTTTAAAAATAAAATTAACTTTGTCCTTTTTGGAAAAATTCTGCCTGCTTCCTTGATGTACGATATTCAATTTGTTCGTAGTTTTCTTCGAATATTGGCTATTCCACCCATTTAGAAACAAGATAGCATTAAATTTTAGTTTATTTATGGGGCAGTATGTTCTCTGCAGACTCCTGTATACAATTTCTGCATCTCTTTTTGATGGATATTGAATTTTTTTGCCACCAGCTATATGGATGCTTTGAGAATCCAAGAACATGCTGGTACAAGAGCGGGCCAATTGTCAGGCGGTACAAAACGGAAGGTTTGTTGGCATTTTGTCTAATCGCCTTTTCCCTATTGAATAGATGAAATCCAATCGTGTTATAATACTGTTATTTCGCAAACAGCAAAAGTTAAGTTAATTTTATAAATCACTTATTCAATTAATTATTGTGGGTAATTGCTTAATGAGCTCGTTGCAAGATGACAACAAAGAATGGAAACATTGGGTATTGTTTCTAAGTACTATTGGTCTAATGATCAGAGGGTGAAATTTTTCCAATTGCGGATCAAGATTACCGCGAGAGGAAGAATAGCGGGTTTGATTGGATTCTTGGTTTTGACCAGTCAGATATCGCTGAACCTCACATAACTGAAAAGTCCCAATGATGAAAATCTTTCTGTTTAGAGAATTCTTTATTCTTTTTGTTGAATACTTTTCAACTGTCGTATCTCACAGAGTATGCTTCTATGCTTTACTAGTTTGCTACTTTGAGAGGGGGGAGGGGGGCGCCGTCGATTTGAGTGTTAATTCTTTTATTGGTCGATTCCTTTGAATCTTCTTTTGCAGCTTTGCTTTTTAAACAGCATGTGTGGTAACCCAAACGTGGTGCTCATGGATGAACCATCAACTGGAATGGACCCTTCTTCTAAAAGATTTCTATGGTGGGTTCACTTTTTTGCTTATAATTGTTGCTAAAAGACTTCGAACAACAACAACTTTAACAAAAAAGCATGAATTGATACCATCCCAATATCTCCTGGAGGTATGTGTCAGGTACCATCAACTGGATTTGACCCTTTCTAAAAGATTTCTATTGTGGGCTCACTTTTTTGCTTACAATTGTTGCTAAAAGACTTCGAACAACAACGTTAACAAAAATACACGAATTGAAGCCATCCCAATATCTCCTTTAAACAACGTTGTTGCTATAAATTGAGATATGTGTCAGGTACCATCAACTGGAATGGACCATTTCTAAAATAATGTTTATGGTGGGTTCATTTGTTTGTTTATAATTGTTAATTAAGAACATCGAACAACAACTTTAATAAAAAAAGCACGAATTGATACCTTCCAATATCTCCTGGAGGTATGTGTCCTAAAAGATTTCTATTGTGGGTTCACTTTTTTGCATTTAGTTGTTGCCAAAAGATTAACGTCAACAGTAAGCAGGAAATGAAACCATCCCTATATCTTTTAAAAAACTTTGTTACTAAAAATGGAGGTGTATGTCAGGAAGCATGTTTTCTATCAGGGGCGGACTGGCTCCAAATTTAGGGCCCGGGCTAATTCGTCAAGAAAGGCCCTGAAAATCAGAAATAAGTTTAAGGGTATCCCCAAGTTGTTTGTTGTGTCACTTTTTTATACTTGCTTAAAACGTTATTGGAATATTGCTATTAATTCTAATTAGTAACCACCAGGGATGTAGGCGTAGGTTTAAAATATTTACAAGGGTGATCTACAATCCTTACTCCAGGTCAGCATCATTTTCACTAGAAATTTAATTCTGCCGTAGAATAATAGATGAGAGAAAATCATGACATTGCGGGGGGGGGGATTATTGTTTTCTAGCTGAAGAGCGGCCTCAATGATAAAAAACGGCGAATTGTATTTAGAGGGGTCACCTTTTTCGATCACTGAGGCTCTGGCACCCAGGGTAGAACTCAATGAAATATCTAAGTTATTCAAGAAATATCCAAGTTATTCAAGAAAATCTTGATATGTAATTTTTCAGTCAAAGCATAATAGGGATTGATGTTTTTTCGATCAATGGTTGAGCAGCCAGGCTAATTGATTGTTTGCACAGCAACAAGGATGGTAACATCAGTAACATAGGATGGGCAGGCGAAACGTTACTGAAGTAGGGGAGGGGGTGAAATGTTTAGATTGTTCAGGGCTTAAATAAAGGCCACCACCATGGTTAGGAATTCTGGCCGAATTCAAGAAAAATTTTCGAAATATTACATTACAGAGATTGCCAGAAAATGCATCTAGAATATTTGCCACATCAAGTTTGACGAAAAGACATCCTAGGCAGCAAATACAAGCTTTCATTTACAATAATTCCCCATCCCCTACTTATATCCAATGACCAAAAAGCCAAAATCTTATTCTCAAGCGACAAAACCAGCATTTCCGACGCACATAACTTTGAACAAATTTGAAATGCAATTATTAAAATCCTATCTTGTCTATTGAAGACAGTAAATAAAATGTTCTCAGTACGAAACTTTCAAGAGTAACGAGTCTTCCTTTCTATGTTTAGACGTCAATTCATATCTACATTTCTATGAGCATAAAGCTTGTAATGCATCTAAGTCTTCCAGCTGTATCTCGTGTCTTTTTATTGTTTAGTTTACAATGACAGACATTTAAAACTTATTCATTTTTGCCGGCCCGTAGACTGCTAAACTGGAATGGAGGGCATGGATGAAAAAATATAAATTTTTCTATACCTGCCTTACGAAATATTGTCAGATCAAGCTGCGCTTATAAGACATTCAAACAGAATTTTTGCAAATTATTGAGAGGGCGGCATTGCCCCCATGCCCCCAGTGTCTACGGGCCTGTTATTTTGCAAAGTTCGTCAGGGCAAATCTCGCATGGTTTTCGCCACGTCAGCATATTTTTGAATTTAAACTAGCACAGTTAGACCACACCAATGGAATTATGCCGAAATTTTGCCGACGAAACACACCAAAATTTGGCGTAAGCACCGATGTTTTATACCTAAGATCTTTGGCAAATCATTCATGTTTTATACTGGAGCAAAGTATGGAAGTACTGCAGCAAAAATTTTCAGAGCTGAGGGGGTTGAGCCCTTCTGCTGTTTTGATCTATACTCTCAAATCTATCTGGTTAGCATTAAAATAATGTACCTTCCTAGAATTTGTCATGTCCTTACCACCTTAACCTATGATTAAATGAAAACATTGAAACTGCGGGCCTGAAGAGAAAATTTATCAGATATTGGAACTTCTAGTTATGTATCGTATTATTGCATTAGAGACAGTGAGCCCTGGGCTCAGGATTCTCCTTGCTTACATGGGCCCCAAATTTTGAAAAATTCTTTTTCCCAACTTGAAGCGCTTTATATAAGAAATACATTTTATGTGCTGACCAATAACTTGTCAAACCATATCATTCTTGGTGTATCCTGATAAGAGCATTTCCTCGAATTTCTAATGATGCAATGCATGTTCAAAGGCCAGCTGATTTTATTTTCATCTTTTGTATTACTGTGTCAAATGCAGTGTTGTAGTGCTATTCAACAACAAGAGGAGCTTTTACAAAAAAATTAGTCCAAGTAAAGTAGCAAAATTAGAAAGGGGTAATTTTTGCATTGACAAGGGTCTCAACTCCCCTAGCACTGCGCCTCTGTTTCTGAGATGTTTTGGTTGCAAAGTTTTGTCTATTTAGTGTTATGTTTGGGCAGCCCTTTATTCCTGTCTGAGAGCCAAATTTGCGTTGGTTTGTTTCCTGGTATGAAAGTTGAGGCCTTTCAGACTTTCTAGCAAATTTTAATGTACATTTATTTGAAACATTGAGAAACACTATCGTCTGATGAACCTACACCAACTCGGTGAGGATATTTGCAATATGTTTATTTCCTGTTAACACCCTTTTTTATTATGCTTTGATTTTAAATGAAATTTTTTAGTATTCCTGAAGTCTTAAGAAGCACCAGAGACCTGTAGCTGGGTCTTTTCTGAACACGGGGTCGCAGCTAACACGTTCTTTCAAATGTTCCAAAATATTCCACTGCTTTAAGTGCCATTATTTGTTTCTAGGAACGTGATAAGTGCCAATATCAAAGGAAGCCGTGGTGCAATTCTCACTACCCACTCGATGGAAGAGGCGGACGCCTTGTGCTCTAGAGTTGGCATCCTTGTAAAAGGTCGACTAAAGTAAGAATTTCCTTTACATATAAATTACCACTAATAATAGAGACTGACATGAAGATTTGCCAGTTGGGATTCAAGGATGTTCCTTAGTGCACAAAATAAGAGAATTATCCCTGTCGATCTACATTGATCTCTGCCAGTAACTTTTTTGCCTAATTTTATCCTGTCGATTAGCAATTCTTTAATAATCTTTTAAGAAGACGCAGTTGATCCTCTTTGTCAAAAGGTTCAGTTAGTAATAACTAAGTACTTAATTGTCCTTGGATAATCTTAAGCTTTGAATAAAACTGGTTGGTAGTGGTGACATTTTTGCCAGGTCATATGACATGTTCAATGTTCGGCTTTCAGTATTGACAATTTCAATTGCGAACCTTCCGCTCTAGTAACATTCAACAGTCTCATGATCAGGCAATCATTTATATCTGGAGGCCAAATTAACGTAGACAGTCAAATGAATTGTACTTTTGATAATTGCGGGAAGATTTAGTCGCAATGGAGATGATTATCTGTGATTACGGATTCTGTGATAAATTTTTGGGAGAGAAGTTTTTATTTAAGGGACACATAAAATCAATTGCTTTTTCGGGGAAATTAACTTGGTGAAAAGTTTGGTATCCTCCTAAGATGGGCTTATCAGGCGTGACCGCAAGTTTGAGTGTACATCTACCATCTTCGTCTTATCTTATTACCACTACCTTATTCAATTTTCACGAAATGACACAAAAAGGACATATTGTACCAGACAGACATACACAATTCTTTCTTTGGGTTGAAGATATCCCCAGCATATTATCATTTTTATGTCCTTTACCTTTTCCACGGAAGATCATTGGAAGTTAAAGTGTGACCAAGCTATCACAACCCAGCCAATATAATTTTTTCCCATGCATATTGAAATTGTCCATCAGATCAAATACAAACGTTGGGACAGGTCATATGTTTCTATGATATACCTATAGAAAAAAGCACTAACAGAATTTATACAAATTAAAGAAATTAATGTTTAGCATTGACATAATGCAAAAAGAGGTTGTGTAATCTAACAACAGCATTGGCAAATTGAGAGGCCTATTAAACCGTTGCTTCTCCTTCCCCCATTCCTAGTGACATGTGTATCGCGTTTATGGCTGTCTTTGATATTGATTGTGTTTATTAGAGCCTATCGTAACATGACAGCATTTTGAACTTTATTATCAGCGGTGTATTTCTTTAATGTTTTTCATATTAAGTTGGAAAAGCGAAGCGTTTTTAGAAGGTTGTGCTTTTTACATTTTGACAATTATGTTTGAATAGTTTTTGCAGAAAATTTATGTTGCCTTTAGATGTGTCGGAACAACTCAGGAACTTAAGAGTAACTACGGAGGAGGCTATACAATAGAGATCAAATGTATGACAGACGAACTGGTACCGCTTGCGGATAGAATGACCAAGTTTGTATATATTTCGTTCGCCATTATAATTAACAAAAAATTTCTACCTCTTTTCGAAGAAGGCAAACAATTCAGGATGGTACTTTTCCTGTAAGCTAGTTTGAGCAGCAAGACAATAGGTATTTCTGGAATTGGTCTTTGAATGCTAATGTTTCATTTAGTTTTCATTTCATTTTGCGTTACCTAAAACACCAATTTTTAAAGAGGAGATGTTTAAACGACAAAGCTCCACTTGTAGAATTTTACAGCAATTCCTCAACATAGATGAAAATAACACTATTTACCACTAACTGAGAAGATTTAAAAGCAATCTGTCTCGTTGTGGATTGGTTAACGAGAACAATAGCTGGAACAATAGCCTAAACACAATTCCAGCGCTCCGCCATATTTTTTACAATGCGATAAATTTAAGGGGGACTGGAAAAAATAAAAAAATCCCTTTGTTCTTATAATCAATTAACGTCGAGACAGATTGCCTTTAAGTGGCTTTAGATTTTTCCACTTAAAGGCTCCGCTCTGACACCGACAATTTTTTTGTTTTTATTTTGCAGAGTTCAAGCTTTTGTTAAAGAGATGTTTCCTGGTGCCGTAGAGACAGAATGTTTTGGTCAGAGGTTGACCTACAAGGTTCCAAAAGATGATGTTGGTAAACTGTCTGAGATATTCAATCAACTCGAAGAAGGTATAATCATATTTAGCAACACATGCTTTTTGAGTAAGATGGTATTTCTAAAATTTTCACGGCAAAACAGAAAAATCCGGTCTGGATAATCCGATTATTCTTGTGTCATATGACTCGAGGAGTTTTTTTGACTGCATTAACGAATTACAGATCGCCTAGGTCATTAACGAATCACAGATCGCCTAGGACATCTAGCGAAACATGATACCTATCCGGACTTTTCATGTCCGTTTTCACATCTTGTTGCGTTGAGTTTTTCAAATGAAGTACAGGCAACCTTGTAACGGTGAATGTCTGTGTGATGGGATTGATAAATTTACGGCTTCATGTCAGTGGTAGTTTATCTAAGTTTCTTAATTTCTCTTTTAAGAAAAAATTTCAATGATTAAAATTTAAAATCAACTCAGCTTTCTAAGTCGCCCTACTTGAAATCATTACAGAATGCTCTAGGGCGAACCCACCTTTAAGATTGGTCGACTTAACCTGGGGCTAACCTTCGTAAGTTTTAACCTTGGTTAGTTTTAGCCTGGGGCGGACCCAGGTTAGTTTGTGTCGTGTAAACAGGGCTTAAGAAAAACCACTGGCACCTCAAACAGTTGTGTGTAGACTGGTTTCGCGCAATATCAAGGCTCGCCAGTACAGCTAGACTGGAAGAGGACCTCGAACTGACCTAGAGCCAGCAATTAGGATGTCAGTAGCAATGCATGTTATAGGTAGTGTAGAAAGGCAAAGAAGTGCACATGAATCTTAGAAACTCGACATTCTCTTTAGACAGTATGAACAGGCACGGCAAAGCAGTACAGAGGTTTTGGCGTACATTTGAATGGAAATTAGATAGGGAATCGTCAATTAGTTTCCTGTCTCAAGTAAATGATATACCACTTGAACATAAGTGGTTGCTTATGTTAAATGTTTTGTATCACCGCATTATGTTCTGGGGGGGGGGGATACAGATACAGCCCTATACTACCTAACCTTTGTATTTACATAGGAAAACTTAAAATTTTACGCGAGAACAGCTAAACATTGTTTGATATGGAAAATTGTTAGGAAACAAGGAAATTGGATTTTTTTCTGTACAATACAGAATTAGAAACGTACTGGCTGGTGTAATTATCAAATTTTAACGGAAACAGAAGCTTACCAGTGTGCCAGCATTGATAATTAAAGAAAACTGTACAAAGAGGGAAGGGAAGTCACTCTAATGTTTAAGGCGAGAGTGAGCGGTCAGCTTTTATACGTCATTTGGTCGTCTATTGTCCTGCAGCGGTAAATTTAAACTGATCTTTGCTTCTGCTTATAACTGTTGTTTATCATCGCATACATTTTATACTTTGGTGATTTCCGGCGTTGGGATTCGCTGCTTCCATCCATCAAATTGCATAAGAACAAGAGTTAGTTTATTGAAAATGAATAACTGCTTAAATGCTTGTTCTAGAAAACAAACCTTGTTTAAAGTCTATTAAAAATCGGGATTCCACAGGGCTCGTGTCTTGGGCCGATTCACTGTCTGTTAAGTTGTGCTTATTATCAGATGCAACTTGAAGAGAAGCCTCCCACTGCTTTTCAAGACAGATCAACCAAATTTCAAAACTGTTTGCTTCTTAATTAACACAATTGCACACACAATGTTTGGAAATATACAGGGCCATTTTAATATACTAGCTAGGGGGGGGGGGGCAATTGCACCTAAAGCCCAGTGACTTTCCATTGTTTTAGATATCATTGGTTAAGTATCATAGCAGATAGAGTAAGGGGTGCCAAGTGTTATTTCTCCAATGTATTTTTTGTAGCAAGTTTATCCATTTTCATCAAGGTGGCCTAAAATTTGATATGGCATGAAGTTTATATGTATCGTTTTTGACGTTTACCTACTATTTTTACTTTGGTGGGTTTTGTAGCCTCCCCTGAAATTTATTTTTGCTTAAGCAGTCTCTGGTCTTACCATATGTTTCTCTTTATTTTATGATTCGAGTCTAATGTATTGCTTTACTCGATCAGGTAAAAGAAATCTTGGAATTGAAGAGTACAGTTTTAGCCAGGCTACTCTTGAACAAGTGTTTTTGGAGTTCGCGAAAGAGCAGGATGAGGAGCTAACTGGCAAGGATGAAGGGAAGGGTAAGCCACGAGACAGCATTGCTGCATGATTATAGGTAGATTCCTGGACAAATTATAACGTTAATTTTACTTGATTAGTAAATATATAGCTACAAATTGGATTTAGTATAAACTGATTTCAGAGAACCTTTTATTGATTCAATGCACTCGCTTCGTACCCAATTTTCTCATGTTTATTTGAAAGTAGTTATAACTCACTTCATTTAACTTCATCGACGTTTAGGCTATTGTCAGTGGAGAACATTTTCAAACAAGCCCTTATGCAAACGTTTTGCTTTATTTTAATGTAGGATAATTAGGACTGATTTTTAGGTAAATCTTTGTTGTTTACAACGTCATGTTTGTTGTGGATATTTTGATTTTCGAAAATTGAACTCTAATTCCTATGATTAGGCTCTTTGGTAATTTAAAATTTTCCTGATTGTAACAAAAATTTTCCTTCATATTCAACCCAATTTATGCCAACTACAATCTGGAATTTTTTTTATTGGGGCAAAATTTGGCATCGTGTGCTTTTTCAAATTGTTTACCATGTTCTGTTTTTAGATTTTTTTAGCAAATCGTTCAGTTTTCATTCAAAAATATATTTTTCAGATTGTTTACAGCTCCGAATATTGAATTTCATAAATTTTGAACTGTGAAAAGCATACTGAATCGTGAAACGTTGAGCCACTTGTATCGTCTTGAGAATGTCTTAACGGGTACTAGGTAAATATTGCAAGCCACGACCTCAAATAATCAGATGAGTGCTCTCCAGTTGAGCTTCTTTTGTTGTAAGTGTTGCTCCGTCGCAGCTTTTATTTCAGGACATTGTCGTACAGTTGTAAGTTTTTTATCGTTCACAAATGCCCATTAGAGCATACAACCAAGATACGTCACAACTTGTGAATATTTCATCTCTGAATTTTTGTCAAATATATCATGAAACGTAGAATTACTCGTATACTATATCATGACAACATATCTTAATTCATTGCTATGTACACTTGAAAGAGGAATTATTAATCACCTACCAATGAACAATTTTAGCCTGCATTTATAAACTCTTTTGTCTTCTGTCACTCCTCGTTTACTTCCAAAGGTCATTTGAGGGTTCCTTATTTGTATTCCAAATTTAGGGGGCAGGAGGGAGATGTCACTTTTGTGACTTTTAATACTGGGATGTGCCTTTTGAGAAGTATTTACATTGTCAATTAAGAAATTGTAATATCAATAACCATTCCAAGCCTTTTTTCTCTAGTTTTCGATCAAACCACATAGAATATGCAATGTCCACATTTCTCGCTGAAATATTTTCAATGATACCACCACCACCCTCCTTCCTCTCTTTAACCCACTGCTACAAATTTGGATCGCAAACCAATCATGTATTGCGGCCCGTACACAAAGTTGTCGTTGGAATTTTACCGATTTCCCGCCCCCTCGTTTCATTGTTTTTTCTTTTCAGCTGGGGACAATGTTCTTCATGATTTTACTGTGGGCTTTTCATTGAATTTATTTATAAGAATTGTGGGTGAGAGATCACGCAGAATGTAACATGTTGTGACTGCTTGGTTAAAAAAGAATGCAAATTTAACCATTCATCCTGATCCTGCGAATCCTTGTTTAATCCAATCGAATGCCCTCAGCATAAGGCGTTGCATACACATGGGACACAATTCAAGGCAATATCACTATTTGCATAAAGCTATGCAACACAACAAGGCAGCTTACAATCAAGGAAATTAACGAAGAATCTGGAAAAAAGTAAGGACAGGTGTTACCAGAGCATACCACCCCCCAGCCCCCTCCTCCCAAGAAAAATTGTGCCCAGTTTGCGTTTAAAGGGGTTTTTTAGCATTGCACTTCTATTTTTCGGTGTCTTTTTCCATTAACAAAATTTTTTCCCACCTCTGTACTTGCATTTTTTTGAAATTTCTTCACCCGCTATTTTTGTGTTTCTTTGCCTTTCTTTTTTCGTTCACCCACGACACGTTGCACACTTATAATATGCTTGAACGTGACAACGGATGGTGTCTTGGTAGTGATTTAAAATAAAAAGTTCAAATCAGCTTGCGTGGTTCAAATATTGTTACTCAACACTGGCTTCCTGATTCAGAAAAATTGAATGCTATATCCAATCGGTATTGCGAAAACAATTCCTTTGAGTGCGTATAGCCGTGAGCTGTGGCCTATTGGGACTGTTGCTGCGTTTCACGATGCAAGCTAACGTTACTATTGGTTCAAGGATCAGTCTCTTCTTTTATGTTTTTGGCGTTGGGAGAGGGTCCCGTGCTGTTCATATGGAGTTGTTTTTGATGGTAAGGCTCGAGGATGCAACAATAGTAAGAAGAGCAGCGTCGTCAAGTTGAGCACGGAAAGGAAATATCTAAGGCTATGGGAAGTAGCATGAGAAGAATTGAAGTTCATGAAGAATTGAAGTGCTTGAAGTGCACCAAACTGTACACTTACGAAGACAAATGGTTTGTAAGATTGACTTCAGATTTCTTTTTTGTTTCTATTACGTTGCAACGCTCATTATTTGGCTAGGGCATGCCTCGTTCTTCTTATTGTTGTTACATTTTAGAGTTTTCTTATTACTGAATATAAAATTTAACAAGTTATTGATGTACTATCTCTAGTAAACGTACCCAATAAACACCGCCATGACCAGTCTTGCAATTTTACTACAATTTTCTGATATTGGTGCTTATTACAAACTCATTGCACGCGTCATACTACCCCCTGTTGCCGAAAGATTATAAATTTGGAAGGTTACAACCCCGGGAGGGGAGTAACTAAGCCTAGTTTTGGACGGGGACATGCCATTTTGTTCAAAATATGGACAAAATATGAATTCAGCACATTTCTGAAAAACGTGACCCATGATCCATAATTCTACTTGATTATTCAAATGGTACTCATAATTCCGCACATGTTTCAAATGGTCTTCAGGGCAAAGCATTAGAAATTACCTCCTTGAATTTTTGTGAATTTTGTCCCGGCCTCGCATAAGCCCCCCCCCACACACATGCCAATTTTTATGTTATTGTAATCCATGATAAATCAAATGTTCAATGAGAAACAAAAACATATGGGTTGCCGTTACCGCCAAAATTGTACATATTCTTTTTAGTAAAATTGTACCGTGCATTTTATAAAATGGTACCATTAGTTGTATAAAATTGTACCGTCTGTTTCATTAAGGGTACCCTCTGTTTTATAAGATGGTACCATTTGTTTTCTAAAATTGAAACGTCTGTTTTATTAAGGGTACCTTCTTTTTATAAGATGGTACCATTTGTTTCCTAAAGATGAACCGTCTGTTTCGTTAAGGGTACCCTCTGTTTTATAAAATGGTACCATTAGTTTTGTAAAACGGTACCTTTTGCTGCGTTAAATGGCACCCCTCTGTTTTGTAAAGTGATATTTTTTCTGGAGTCTGGGAAACAACAGAGCAGTAAAGAGCAGTAGCGTGGTGTCCTGGTGTGTGTTTGGCCGAAGTAATGGCGGACGAAGAACTTGCAGATGCTGCTCGATTTTTGTCAAGGGCTGCATCGTGGCTTTCTTCAACTCCAACGACAACGGTTTCAAACACCCCGGCAAGTAGATGTCTTCAGGCAAGCGTGTTACTGAGTCAATGAAACTGATGGCATCCTCAACAAAATCAACAGTTATTAAAACATTACCAAAATCAATATCATTATTAGCATTTAAACTAAAACATACTTTTTCGATACTTTGGCGTACAATTTCTATGGGCTCTTCCATTGTGCTTTCAACGAAGTCATTTAAGGTCCTCGGGCCTATTCTGCTTAGTACTCTTGATGCTCTATGTTTGGTAGTTCCAGGTTCCAGGCTCCAAATACTAAAAAGGATATCAGGTTAAGGCAAAATCTACTATGTTATGAAACAGGACAATTTTCTAAATCAGAGAGTAGCATTTTACAAAGAAGAAAGTGCCATTTTATAGCATAGGAGTACCATTTCACAAAACATCTAGTACCATTTTAAAAACAGAGAGTACCATTTTACAAAAGAAAGGGTACCATTTTATAAAACAGCGGGTACCATGTTTTGAAACGGATACAATTTAATGAAACAAAAGCTACCATTTCGTGAAACAGAGGGTAACATTGTTCGAAACTAGGTACCATTTGGTGAAACAGAAGGTACAATTTCAGGAAACAAACATTACCGTATTATAAATGCAAGGTACAATTTTACAAAAAAGCATCTACATAATTTTGGCGGTAACGGCACCCCATAAAAACAAAAATAAGCAAGTATTTTCATGATGTTTTTGTTTTGCTGTAAAAATTGACAGTTTTTATGCGTGTTGTGAGAATAAATTGGTATAATTAACGAGAGAAGAGGAGGCCGTGTGTTAGCAATTGAGGGAGGTCGAGTGTTTGAATAAGATTAGAGAATCGAGAATTGAGAGCAACCGAGGGTAGTATTCTGCTTGTATTCGTTTGTATTTGCATTCGTTTATTCGTTGTCTACGTCCTTGTAACCACTGGTAAAATATGATAAGTCATACGCCTCAAATTTTTCAGGGTCCAAATTCCATCTTAGCATGTGCTGTTGTCCTATATGTTTCCCCTTTTCATTTATTTCTTAATTTCTTTGTTCCTTTACATCGACATAACCTTCTTCATGAAGTAGTCGATTGATCCAAAGAACTTACTATGTACATATATCACCACACACCCTAGATGCTATCCTACATTGCTTCTGATTCTAAATTTCTAGCACGAACAAGAATGCGATTCGTTGTCACCATCTCGCCATTAAACAAGGTATGACTTTTTATATTTATGCATGCTCAACTTTTTTTACGTTTAAAATAAAAATTTATGTTAGATTAATAGCGGAGCAAATTATTGTTTTAAACGGGAATGGTGTTGAATGTATCGCCAAATCAACACGCTACTTGAAGAAACACTTTGCTTTCCTTTAAAGTGCATATCACCTAATTTGGGATAGAGATTAAACCAACTGAAACAGCTGTGCTGAGCTCAAATATCAAATTTAAAAAGCGTTTTGAGCAACGCAAGCCCTCGAAAAATGCCCCCAAAGTCTTTAATTTTTGCCTCCAATCCGCGCATGTTAAAGAGGTCTAGGCTCTAGTCTTTCATGACGTAGAAACCAGAACGTCTTTCGAAGCCTTGCGCAATAAATTATGGCCGACTCTGATTCCGAAGCATCCAACATCTCGTCAAATCCTAGTTCCTTTACGGATTACGAATTAGTGGATGAAAGTTTAGATTATGAGCATGCGGGATGCGGGGACTGAAAACGTCGAAGCTGGGTGCTTAGAAGCTTACGCTGATGAACCAATGGCTGATGCGGCGTGGATGCAGAAATAAGAAATATGCTTATTTAGGCCCGTCTAGGACTATGTTGTCGACTAAATCCGTTTTTAGGAATTAAAGTAAATTCATTCGGGATGATTTCTGGTTGTGTGAGGACAGATTCGACTTCATATGACTCAGATCAGGGTAGGTCAGGTCTGACGTATGTGTAGTAGTATGACGTAAAAATAAGCCAATAGGAATGTGGAGGGAGGAAAATATTGAAGGCTGATTGCAAAGAAAGCAAATTGATGAATGAATAAGTCGCATGAACTTCATTGACGATCCTTGTATGCTTATTATGTCCATCCACATCTCTAAATATATCATTGAATATTCTCAGTACGCTTTACTTTGGTTCTGGTTTTTACGTCACAAAAAGACTATGATCCAGTCCCCTTTTTGGCGCTGTTTGGTGCTCGCCAGACATGGCAATATGCCACTTTTGCGCGCATACAACAGGAAAAGCAAAAGAAATAGCAAATTATCAATTCGATTTCGTAAACAGCGCATCAAGTATAGTAAGGGATCGCAAAGTTTGCAATTGAGGTGATATACACTTTAAGCACATATCAAAAGCTTGCTCAGTCGTATCAATTCTGATATCCATGGTGCCTGTCTTCAGGTTTTTCTACATCTCCGGCTACTTGAATAACTACAAAATTTACTGTTAGTTGGGGAAATTTCACACGTTTTTTTTATAAAAA